AAAATCCTCGAGTTTCCGGGCGAAGACCGCATTAATTTAGTTCCTGATGTAAGTGAAAAATATTTAATAAATCGTCTACAACACACACAACATAAAGGATACGAACGCGGCACGTACATAATATTATGTTGTTTTATTCATAAGTATGAAATCGTATAATAATGTAGGTATACCCGTACAATAGAAGTCAGTCAAATTAAAAAAAAATTCGTATTAATCTTTCTTACGTATTTCACGACATTTATTACCTACGATAACCACGTTCCTGATTGGTAGTTATTATTTTATCTTTGTACGATGACGTATTATAAATAGTTTTTCAAAATTATAAATTTTTTTTTAATATAATTTTTTTTTATTCTTTTTACATTTTTTCTTAATTTTTCATATTATCTATAGCAAAACAAAAATAGAGATTTTTGAAATATAAGGAATAAATTAGTGGTAAACTTAAAAATAAATAATTTTTTTGACAGCTGTATTATTATTTATACTATATAATAGTTATAAACTCTTATATACCTACATGAGTAATTTATTTTTTTAAATTCAACTATAAATAAATATTTATTATTAAGTCAAAGTGAAAATCAATTACACAGTAGTGGATGTGTCGCCGACTATCTACCGCCGAATTTGTAGTACCTACCGTCAATAATTATCAAATGTTGACATTGGTATAATGTGCTTGTTTTGTGTTTATTATAATATTATACTATAATTTTATATTTAAGCGTCATGTTTGTTTTCTTTCTTAGACTCATATATAAAATAGATATTACGTATTCACGTAAAATTGTTTTATATGATTTTTGAGAGTGTCATATAAATCGGTTTTATATTATACTATTATTATTTGACTTTATATAGAACTTAAAAAATAAAAATTCCGAGAAGCTGTTTTCGAGAAAAAATTTACTGACACCTGCACAGTATGCACACGTATTATTGCTCATTTAATAGTACTTGTTGATTAGGTCAAAGTTAATGGTTTGATGACTATATACACGAATTTGGACTATCCTTTTTTGAACAGTGTATTTGATTTGTATCAATACACGGGATTGATTGAGCTAAAAGAAGAAAAAACAACAACAAATGAACCCAAAAGCATATTGCGATTAGCTACAGACCTTTCCAGAGTGATAGAAAAGGCGAACAATTCAAATATCCCGTCTGAAATTGCTACAAACGTCCAATAGTAAGTGAAAATATCATATTTAAGTAAATTTTACACTATTCTGCGAAGAGTGAAAATGAAAATAAACGGTTTCACAAATGATAATGTATACAATTCGATAAAAAAATTATTACAATAGTATAAAACATTTTAAACTCAGTTTCTAAGATGAAACATAATTTATTGGTTTTCTGTTTCTTGGTAAAATGGTAATATCTTAGTAAATAAAAATTCATTATTTGACAGAGTGATTATTTGTTATTAAATTTGTATTATTTTACCTATTAAATATTATAATATCGATAACCTTGTGATTTTGCAGTGAGTTCATATCGAATCAGTTCAAACAACTTACCGATAAAATAACGAAACCGATGAAACAGTTTTTCCAAAGTAATATTCTTCAAAAAGATAGTGATTCATTATCTATCGAACCAAAATCATTTCCCAAACTCTCCACTTCAAGTCTCAACAATTCCAGAAGCGAAAAAAATGTGGCGTTTTTCAAAGAAATACACAATGCAGAAAATAAAAGTTAATATTTTAATTAAAAAAAAAAAATAATAGATTTAATTAACTTAGTAATTGATAAATATTTATTTAATATTAATAAATTATGTTACACTTGATAAATGGTGAACGTTGTCACATAACATTTGTATGATTGCGTTAATTATATCATATATATATTTATAAACAAAAATAATATTTATACAGAGTTTAAAATACTAGTATTTATGTAATGGGATACTAAATGATAATGTACTATTTAATTTACATCGTTGAATGATGATAATTGATTTAATTATTACTATGTTATAATAGCCACGAATTATTTAAATTTACAGATATAATAAAAGATTTCCTAAAATTTCAAGATAAAGAATCTAAAAAAGCGAATGATGTGTCCTACTATATTAGCAGTTCATATTATTCATCAGAGAATACAACTTATACAAAAATGGATTATAAAAAAACAGCTTTTATGATTGAATTAATGTTGATTGACATCGACGAAGAAAATAAGTAGTCACGACTTCTTTTTAAAATTATTATTTTTATTGATATGTTTATCCGACACAATGCTTTCAGAGCCACGTGGGACTATTTAAATTCAATTTTTATTCATTTCATTGAATTTCCTCAATATGAATATTGTTTGATGAACTTACCCACAATTACGACTCCGCCTGAACTTAAAAAGTTTTTTTGTGTATGTGTAGCTCTATAACTACTATAACTAAACGTTGTATAATTTATTTAAATTATATTTTTATTAATGAAATGCATAAATTTCAGAATGCCATTTTGAAACCCAATCGTACTTATCCTATGGGTTTACTTTATGTACTGCATCGATCTTTTTTAACTGGGTAAGCATAATTTAATTGCATCTAATGCAATAATTCATTGTTTTAAATTTTATTTTTAAGTTTTTTCATTACAATTAACTTTATTATTTTAGAAACTTTTCATGTGTATTAGTTACAAAGGAACATTTGGAACTCATGGAACTTATGATTGAAAATCACCCCTTTGTACATATAATTTCAAATAATATATCTAAATCGGTTTTTGAAGATACAAGATATAAAACTTATATTTTTCAATGTAATGATCAACCCATTGGATATTGTGTAATTCGGTGATTATTTATTTCAGTGTATTGCTCGTAATTTATATATTATTTGTGTTTCGGCCAATATAATAAAATGATTAGGTCACATTGTCACAAATCATACGTAGGAACAGAAGGTATCATATACATACACACATACGCATACATTATATTATATTGTTTTCATTATATTTGATTATTTTAGTTTTGAGTAATAATAATTATTGGCATTATCAATATTACTTAATGTTTTAATTAGTTTTCATATTTACTTGTGGCGCATATAATTATTCTTATTAATTGTTTTTAATCTGAAAGTACACTAATAGATTTTTTATTGTAATTGTCATACTGGCTCAAATACTCAACGATCACCGTTGTTTATTATTATAGTAAATTGTGAACGCGATTAGCTAATTTTTTTTATTCATATTTTTATATTTTTGTTCGTATTCTCTGTGTTTGGGAGAATTATTTTTTTTATAGTTAAGTAACAGTTGGCCAGATTGGGCTCCACAGATAGCGAGTTTTTTTTATTATTATTTATATTTATTATTGAGTCACAAGGGCCACCTATTATTATTATATTTATTGTCGTATTTATAAATGTTGAGCGTTTTTTTAACATTTAATTATTTTGTTTGACCATAGGGGCGTGTAGTTACCTTATTGTTCATTTGAGTTCTTTATCTGTCACTAGTTTTTAAGCTTACACACACACTTAGTACCTACCTACATACACACTTATACACAAGAAAGACACACATTACATAGCTCAACAGTATTTTCCCGGCAATCCCGACCACTGCATACATTAGCTATTTCTACGTATTTTTTGGTCTTAGGTTTTAGTGCATGAAGTCATAAGCTTAAGTATATTTTTAGTTTTGGTGTTCGGGCGCGCGTTAATACCATAAGCTCCAGGCCTCCATAATTTGGATTAAAAAAAAAACTTAATTGAAATTTATAGTAAGTATACTCACATAAATTAATTAATGTGGCTCATACAAAATAAAAATGTAAGGTTAGTGTAATTTATTCTAAAAATGTGTGCTTACACAGTTACCAGTTACACACATTCGAAGACGTTTTTGTGTCGACATACTAATTATCTATTTTAATCAAAACATTAAAAACTCTAAACAAATTATCAAAAAAACTCAACCAAGAGTTGTCAAAAAGCCGTAAAATATTTACTCTAGTATCAATAAATACTTTTCTCTTTTAGATTAAACGATGAAATTAAATTTTTGAGTAGTTATTTTGACGTGGCCTGTTATGTGTACCCCAAACTGGCCCGTAATCATATGGCTATTTTACTGAATATGGATGTTCAAAGAACATTTATTAAGAAATCTCGTGGTTTGCTTAAATTTGTAATGGAAGACAGTGACGTCAATTGTTTGTTTTATAAACTCTATACAGATCGAACCATAATGGAAGAAGTATGTTAGACAAATAATTATACATGTTTTTTTAATAAATGTTAAAGTTTCTGTTTTGACTCTATGAACAATATTATAATATTAATATCAATATTAACAATATTCATCAATTTTAGAGTGAATTATCATACATAAATGAAATAAAAGAACTGATTCCTGTTAAACCTCGGATTCGCATTCAATACGACGATGAAAACATGTTTGGTGACCATGAAAAGTTTGCGCTATTTCATATAAATACACGATTGTGCAGTACTCAAACTATGTCAATAGACGCCAAGATTGTTGTAGTTGGAGCCTCTGTAGTAGCTTTATCATTTTTAGAAAGTCTCCTATTCAAGTAATGTAAAATTGAATTTTTACTTTAATTAAAAAGTACAATAAATTTATTATTTAGAATAAATCGTTTCTAAACGACGTTGAGTTTTCAATGGGTAAGCATTAAAATTTTAAAACTTATATTTCTTATGTTTAAAAACACTTTTGTTTTGTACGTTAAAATTATTCAATTTGGTTGTGTTACTTTCATTTTTAGTATTTAATTATCACTCCACAGTAAAAAGATTAGACTATGTTTGTCAATAGTGTACGTAACGCCTTACCTTTGTGTCAGCTTTTGTGTATCGCAGATGATATGAAACTCTTTATTGAAGTCAACTCAGCTGCTGACTGCGCGAATCTCCAAAGTAGCCTTGATTGTTTTGTTAGTTGGTGTTTTAAAATAGGCCTTAAAGTCAATGCTTCAAAATGCTGAGTCATGACGTTTACTCGTTCCCATTCTACTATCCTTTTCGACTACAATATCTCTGGTTTGACAATTGAACGCGTTGATAATCTAACCGACCTTGGTTTTAAACTAACTAGAAATCTTAGCCCTAGTCCTCATATTGCGATGATTACTAATAGAGCATTTAAAGTTTTAGGGTTCATTATGCGTCTATCTAAAGACTTTAAATTGTCAAAATCATTAAAATCATTATATTGCGCTTTAGTTCGTCCTATTTTAGAGTACGGGTCGGTTGTCTGGGATCCGTACACTGCTTCTGATATTAATCAACTTGAACGTGTTCAACATAGATTTTTGAGATTTTGTTGTTTTGTGTTAGGCATTCCCCACTTAGCTCACGACTATACCAATATCGCTAACGTACTTGGCCTACCTACTCTTGCTGAACGAAGAAGAACTTTAAATTTAAAATTTATTCGTGGTCTAATTACTAACCATATTGATTCCCCTTGCTTACTTTCCCAAGTTAACTTTAAAGTCCCTTCGCATATATCTCGCTCTCATGTGATCATCTATATTCCTAACGCCAATACTAATTATCTGCAAAATGAGCCTTTAAGATGAATTATGTCACTTGCTAATGAGGACCCCTCTTTTGATGATAATTTGTTCTAATGTTCTTAAACTCTGTTTATAACTTTTAAGTTTAATATATGTGTTTTAATTGCTTACTTAATTATTTAAATGAATGTTTAATTAAATTGTAATTCTGTTATTTACATATAATATTTTATTTATCTAAATTTTCTACTATTATTCTAATAAATTGTACTGTACTTTAATGTTAAAGGGGCAACCCGTATATTTTAATAAATAAATAAATACCTACTATTTAAGGACCAAATGTAAGCCATTACTATTAGTACTCCATAGCCATTTATAAAACAGCTTAAATAAATAGAAATATTAAATCATTTTATTTATAGTAAAACATTTAAAACAATAAAACTTTAAAAAAAAATGGCAGTTCATTGATTATTGAAAATAATGTTTAATTTTCTTTATTAATTTTATCTAATTAATTTGTTGTTTTCAGCCCATTAAGCTATTACATTCGATTCGACAATATTGTACTCATTTCTGATTGTGGTACGCCATATCAACTTACTTTAACTGACTTGGAGGATCGAATGATTCCAAAAATAGCACACTTTAATTATGAGTATATGGTTTCTATGGGTTTTAAATCATTTGTGGATGTCATCACTGGCACAGTTACAGCAATTAATAAGTTTGTAAAATTTACTTCGTAATTAAAAAAAATCTAAAATTCTACAGTACTGAAGAATGTAGTTAATAATGATTAAATCAATAAATAGTTATTGTGCCGTAGTAATATGCAAAAATAATGTGTTCAATTCGATTATTTAGTTTATAATTTGTATTACCTGTGTTTAGTAATCTAATAAAAAATATTTTTACTATTTATAACTGTTTTTGTTTAGAGCCGATAAATGTGTTACCGTTAATGAAGATGAACAAGTATATTACGATTATTTATTTTTATTTTATGGTGAACAATTTGGGTACACTGCTAAAGAAAATGAAATTAAATCTAAAAATTCTATCGAGTAAATGATGTAAAATATTTGATATAGATATATAATATTTTATTAGTAGTTTTATTCGTGTAATAGATCAAATGATGAAACAAACATACTGGAAAATTTATTTTTTTTAAATTCTGAACATGATGTCACACGTGCTTATAAATATATTGAATCAATGAAAAATAATGAAAAAGGTAATTTTTTAAATGACAAAAATATAAGATAAATTAAAAAATTAACAACTTTTTGTCAAATAATAGATATTATTGTACTCGGAAAATACTTGGGATCACTAACAGTGATTAATGCTCTTCTCGAAAGCAATATTCAAGGACCTCGAATAGTTTATATTGAAACTTATGAAAAAAAAAACATTCCATTTATTACTAATAAGTTTGTAAGTAATTTGTTTGGAAAATTCCATTTATAATGTATGAAATTTAAAATTAAATAATAACTAAGCATAACTTAACACTCTAAATTAGATTAAAAATGCTGTTTACAATGAATTATATAGTCAAGGAGTACGTGTGTACAAAAAATGTGTATTCGAAAAATTCACATTAAATAGAGATCGAACGCATATACGGAAAGTGACCTTTACAGCGACTGGTGACATACTACTTACGCTTGATTGTGCTACATTATTTTGGTTCGACCAGAAGTTTACTAATAAAGTAAATTGGTTTAGTAAGTATTTTGTTAACTATTCACGTAAAAAGTGCTTTATTTTTAATTATTTACCCGATGCAGCTCACTAATTCAGTTGGGGTGGACCTATCGTTATGACTTATGAGTTATGAATAATAAAGTAATTAAAATGTAATTATTAATTAATTGTTTGATGTTAAAGCAACGTGGCTAGATTTTATCTAGTATTTTTAGATTTATATGAATAAGAATTTAGAGATAGAGAGATAGGTATTTATTTAGAGTGTAAAGTTATTGGTTTAAGTTTTTTGAGTTCAAATTTATTGATGGGATACCTATTTAATATTTTTTTTATGCATTTAATGACATTATAATAATTAAAAAATATTTAAAAAATAACCACGATGAAGCAGTGGTGTAGCCGTGTAGGTATCTAAAAATGTCTGTGTAAAATCAAGTATAATAAGACACCGTGTGTTTAGACCAAATTGTGTGATTATGGCCTCGAACACAGAAAATTTAGCTGTTATTCAGGGACTAGTGTATTGATATAACACACATCATATAAGATAAAATTATTAATTAAATAACTAATATATTAATACTAACGTAGAAAAATATATTATATCATATTCATATTAAAACGAAAAATCAATTACTTGTAATTACTTTAAAGTAACTTTATAGTATTATATTTACTATAATTATTAGGGTTTTCAAATGGATAATTGTTATGATTGTAGTTATTTTAATTTGTGCCAAATTAATTACTAACATTTGTTAGATTTATGTTTTTAGCAATGTTACAGTCCGCGTTGAAGTTTGATGGACATTTAGTGGTAAACACATCGTTCGAGACCAATATCGAATTTGTGTATGCGGCAGGACCTATGGCGAGGTTCATGCATAATAAATATTTTGTTTTATCACACCACATGTATTACAATAGATTAGAGATTGGAGATCGAGTGGCCAACGTGCTGATGAAACGTTTGGGAATTGTTGATGACGACAAATCAAACGATGACTATGTTCGTCCACTTTTTGTTTATTGTCAATTCCCTGGAAAATACAATTACCTCCACACCGAGGTGCCCGTTTGGCGATCTCTAAAGAAAAATTCAAAAACACTAAGTACTGGGAATGCCACTGATGGATATTTTGAAATTATTGTAGATTCTAATGGTGACGTATTAGAACTGTCGTGTTATTCAAATAAAGTGAGTGAACATAGAATTACTTGCGTACTTCAGAAATTACGATAAATTTTTATTTGTTTGGCGTCTTTGTAATTTTTTTTATTTATTTTTGAGTTTATTTATTTACTTAATTTAGCACATTTCGTAGGATATTAAGTATTTAAATCTAATAAATTTGTGCGGAAAACACGTGAATTTATTTAACGATATGATGTACCGCTTCAAAATGGATTCTATTCCGTGTTTTTTTGAATATTTCAACCAGTCTTGGTCGTACCCTTTGTACTCAGACAGGTTTTGGAAGATGTTAAACGAGATGAAACTAAAAAGAGACAATAAAGTACCACGTTATTATTATGAATTTATTTTAAGAATAAACCTATATAATATGTATACACAGAGTATCAAAAAGTTTTTGTACCGTGATGATGTTGCCACGTTGATGTCTAAGCTGAAAGTCTATACGGTAAAATGTCAATACTCATTACCTCGTCCAATACATAATATTGTATAAAATCTGTATCATGGGATTTTTACTTAGATTTCACGGTTGGCGAGGTCTCCTTATCTCGATAACCGTTTCGATCAGTTGTACGGAGAAAAATTAAACGCAGCTTTGATGAATTTCGTCGCTAATAACGTGGACGATTTTCCAATGTTTTCTCACACCATTGATCAAAGAGAAACAGAAGATGAATATAACACGGTTTAAGATCAAAATGTACGATATATTTATATTTTAATGCTTTAAAAGTTGTTTGAGTAGTCATTTCTATACGAAATGTATCAGTATGTAACTATAATACATAAACTAGAATCAATTTTATCGTTTATTTTAACGTTGATAAAATACTTTATAATTAATAAAATTATCATAATTTGTAACTAAATCTAATATTCATCTTAGCACTTTCTTCCGTGCGCTGTGTTACGTTAAGTGTCCAAGTATATGTTGTGTATATCTTTACATGAACCGATTTACCCAGGTTTCCATCTTATCTGTGGCTTCCTTAAATATTAAAATTTGAAACATTAATTAATTTAAAAATATAAAGCAATATACTATATTATTTGTAAATTTGTTCGGTTTTTCTAAATAATTCTTCAGAACTGATAGATTTTATTTGATTTAAATGAAAGGATTGGTATTGAGTGTGGACTATGGAACATATTATTCTATAAAAGCTCTCTGATCCATTTGTTATACTTGAAAAAAACTTACAAAGTAACATTTAAAACGTATACAACGGCGATAATTAAAATATGATATTTTATGATAATTTATAATATGTTATAAACTAAATAATTATCTGATATATAATGACAGTTTCGCTATTATATGTTATAACTTATAAATGTTATTATTACAGCCAAGTTACGTAGATGTATCAAGTAATAATAAATTATAGTGTGTATAAAGTAGGTACACTAAAAACAAAATTCAATACATCTTTTTTTTAAAGTGTTGTTTTATAGATACAATATAATATATAACCAACTTATTGCCACTTATTATTTAAGTGAAAACCATTATTTAACTGAATATTATATTTTACAAGTCGATTTAAATTTTTAGTTGAATTATGAATTATGAATTAAAAATTAAAAATTAAAAATTATGAATTATGATTAGCTTTTATAAACACATTTAATATAATTTATGGTTATTTATTGCATACACGTTTGAATAAACTGTTGTATAACTTAATTAACTTGTCTCCACTTTTTTTGTAAATTAGTATATCTAATATTATCCTCTAATTAAGCCTAGGGTTATTATACCTGTAATAAATTAAATTAAAAAAATGTCACTTAAAAATATTATAGAGATGACTGTTGTCTCCATTTCACGAACTAAACTCAATTGCCTGGCTGTATCAATGATTTATATTTTCTCGTACTCTACGTTCCTGTGTTCTTCTGATCTAAGCGAAATTGCAGAATGCGGCATAAATGACGCGTTAGTAATCTGTTTATCCTTACAGTTACGTTCCTCGCCATTTAAAATCTGCCCTTAAATTTACTTTTAAAACAAAAATAAAAATTGAAATCAAAGGTATGTTAGTAAACACGTGTTACATCTCGGCTATTTTCGACGATGGACATATTCTTATTCCGTTCTTTTGCGGTGAATGACATAGCCTTATCGGAATATTCCTCTTTTATTTTCCTAGGATATATCACGGTTATATTTTAATTATTTAAATTTAAGTTACTTGTCAGTGGTCACGTCGTTTATTATATTTTTTATTAATAAAAATGATTAAATTACAGGCATTATTATTATATTATATTCATGCATATATATTTCACACATATTACAGTTATAAGAATTATATTTATTTATAGACAATGAAAAACATTGTCAAAAATTAGATATGTTTACAATATTTTTGGGATAAAACTGACATGCCTCTATAGATTAGAGTCATGACTATTTAGTATTGACCATATCCACAAACTCTACTGTGTTTTGAAGTTACTTATATGGTACATTACTAATTTATAAATGTTCGTGATTATATAGAAATTTAATTTCAAATACCTACTTATATAAAAAATACCAAAATCAATAGGTACGTTCATCAATTTTTAGTGGAACGCTAATAGAATCTAAAAATAATGATCCGTTGAGATATTTTTAGGAATTTTGATTTTTTCCATTCCATAAATCAAGTAGACTAATTAAACTAGATAATTCATCCATAATGGATAATGAAATAAGTATAGTGTTCTGTTTCATCTTCCATCAAATTAGGTAGTGATTATACATTGCATTTTTTGAATTATTCTAAAATAGTTGCTTTTTACAATAATTTAATTGTTATTATATATTATCTAGGTAATATGATATTACTTGGGCTTAATCATGTATAGTGTATTATACTGAAATAAATGTAAAAGTATAAAATTGAAATGAACGTCATAAAATATACATTTTTATTGATAACTCGGCACTATGCGTTTGATATGTTTTAGCACAATAAAAATAAAAACCGTCGGTACTCTGGAGTCTAGACCAGTGTTTCTTTACCGGTGTTCCGAGGCACACAAGTGTGCCGTGACTGTGGTACATGAGAATAGTGTTATTAGATATTATTTTTTAATTATATAATTTATTAACAATAAAAATAAAAATGCCTTTTTTTGTTTGCTTCTTATTATTTTATTAATACAATGTTCTGTCAAACTGTATAGTCATATGAAATGCGCTGTGAACATAAAAAGGTCGAGAGCCAGTGGTCTAAATCGATAGCAATAATATAATTTATAATTAGTAATTATTATGATCAATTTAATCCCAAAGTGGAAGTCGTCCGTCACGCACGTAGGTACTTCAATTGCTCATTTTCCTATATTATATATTTTTATTTCGATTTTCAACTATAATTTGGTATCAAAGTCAAGTAAACTTCTTGATTTACCTTCATTCCATCGATTAATTAATTTTTTGTCTATGTTCGCTAAAATACTTAAAAAATTAATTCTTGAACCTATACTTTCTATCATCACTGAAACAAATATTCTGCCTAAAATAAAATTCAATTTCCGTGATTTTCATTCAGTTTTTCATCAAGTCTATAGAGCTGTAAATGTTTTATCGTACCTATACTCTTAGGAAAAAAATTATTTTGCACATGTTAAACATCAGCAGACTCTGATTTTGCAACTATAACAACTATAAACGACGGTGTTCCCCAAGGAACATTTTATCTTCAATTCTGTACAATATTTTTGTACTTGAACAACCAATCATTCCGAATACATCAGTAACTGATTAGGGCGTATATCGATTCCGCCGAATACTGTTTATAATATTTGCATATTAATTTCGCCGGATATTAATTCCGCTGGCTACTGTTTATCCTTCCCTTGCAAATGTGTAATACTTGGTTCGGAAATTTTCGGAAAGTTATTAAATCCAGCCAACGTTTGACCATATTGTTCGCATTAAGATTAAATATTAATATTAATAGTTATTGTTATTTTTTTCATAAAAATTAAAAATTTTGTAATACTTTAAATGGAAATTTAATAGTATTTATTATTGATTTATTTTATCATAATAATAAAATATTTGTATAATTAAATACTATAAATTTGTTATTTATTTATTCTGTTACGTACCGTGTTATTTTACACATATATATTATACGGAGAGGTGATGTGTATACCGATGGAATAACATATTCAAACAGTGTAGTATCGAACGGCTATGGCGATCACCTGCACATCGTGATATTTAATATAATGAATAAGACATGATCACACGTCTTGGACTTCTCAGAAATGATGAGTAAACGACAGTGTTAACATTGTACTATTTAATTTGGCAATTAAGACTTGATCACACGTCTTGTAATTCTTAGAACCGATGGAATCGCAGGAAAGGCACCCAACTGAATAATACATTTAATTCAGAGAGCTCCTTAGGGTCATTGGAAGTCACCACCTCTCCAGTCACCACTCTTGACAGTTAACCATATATAAGGGAGACCAGGGCAAGAGCTCAGCAGACGGTTAGGGATATTCGAGACGCTCAGAGGCAGGTCGTAACACCACTCACGATCTCGTCTATCAGTATTTCAGAGGCAGGTCGTAACACCACTCACACCATCTTGTGCTTATAAAATTGTATTCTTGTACGAGTTAATTGTATTAAATAAAGACTTAATCTTTTAACTTGCAAACATTAGTATTTCTATTTCTACGTTGATATATGTATCGACGTTGACATAAGGGACGCAACAATTCATAGGAGGCACGATTTTTTTTATTTTTAAGGTGACGTAAACTAAAAAGGTTTGAGAACCGCTGCTATATATTTTAAATACATTTACAATGGGGGGGGGGGATAAACAGTGTCTGGCGGAATCGATTTGTAAATATTATAAACAGTAGCCGGAAAAATTAATATTCGGCGGAATCAATAATTTCCCGCTGATTACGCTGATGATTAAGTAACAATGTTCACTATTTATGATCCCATTATGGCCTCAACTAATTTACAAAATAACTTTGACCTTTTTAGTTTTTATTTTTTATAAATAACGATGAAACATTTTTGCTGGGTCTGTAAAGTGCTTAAAAATGCAATATACGATTCTTCGTTATTTATTTTTATAGCTATTAAAAAATGTTAAAGATACATATATTACACGATTAGATGCACATCAACTACCATAAAGGTGTGACGTTAAACTGGTAAATAATTAACATATTTTTAGAAAGGTCGGGGCGACAATGACGTAATAAAAACACTTGATGCTGTACACATCACGATATGTTTATATACTTATAAATGTTATATTATCCTAATTAATCATTATTTATCAGTAATATGTTTTTACAATGTGTATATTAAAAACATCAAACACAACGAAAACGTCGAGTGTTCAAAAATTGATTTTTGTTTTTCTAATGCCTTTTTTTTAACTTCATATACGTTTAATTTAACACTACGCAACTTATATAATATATTAATAATTAACTTAAATAACTAAATCTACAGTATAATTATAGTATATATATATATATATATATATATATTTAATATTTAATATGTATATAATAAAATGTCTTAGGATGTATTATATAATAATATTATATAGTTACATGTTGAAAAAAAAAATAAATAAACAGTTGATATACAAAAGTCGGTAGATATATTATATTATTATATAATATTATAATACGACGGATGGGTGACTAGAAATATATAAATATAAATAATTATAATATTATAATATCAACGCAATAATAATAATAATAATAATAAGTAAATAAATAAACACGTGTTACTAGAAGAGTAGTGATCGATCAGAGGACGATCGCCGTATACAGATCGTGTTTGTTTTACATTTATTCGTGAGTAAGTATATATATATATAATATAATATACACGTATATAGGTACACGGAAGAAAGCGCAAAATCGCATTCTGGGGGGAGGGGTCTTTGGTGTAAAAATCTAAAGTAAAAAACAAATTCAAATACAAAAAACACAGGTACAATCTCTTATAATAATAATAATAATAATAATAATTCATAATTATTATTATTATAATAAAAATATATGTACACGCGCGCAACATGTATTATAATAATATAAAATTTTTTAAGGCATAACGGGTACATGTGTTATGTGAACTTATAATATTGAACAATATAGAAGCCGAAAACATGGGAAGTTGGATTTGTTTAGCCATAGACGACAAAATCGAAAAACGCTTTTTTGACACTGGCCGATGATGACGTGTTCCGCGGCGTTAGGATTGAGTTTAATTTTAATATTCTATTATACAACAATCCATTTAAAAATATCCATACGAAATCGTGAAATGTTCGGGTAAAATAAAAAAATCTTTTGCACGATGAAAATTTGTGGAATCGCGTAATTAAAAAGTGGTTAGTATTGTGTGTCACCCCCATAAGCAGTCATAAGCAGTCTCGAATTGGTCCATCGGTAAAGTTCTTGCTGTGATTCGGCAGGAGACGATCGTCAAAAATCGGAAGAAAAAAATCCGTCCGGAAGTGGACGATGCAACCACGGCGTGTTGTGTTTAACTTAGGTTAACATCTCGAATTCACGAAATAATGGGTAGACTGGTGGGCGTTGACAGGCGGGTGAGTGATGGACTCGTTGCACGACAACGATAATATTATGTGTGTGTGTATGTGTGTACGAGTATGTAAAAAGTACGGCGAAGTAGATTTCAAGTACATCATATAGTTTAACGATTAATTAATATTAAAATATTATTTAATGATGTGAGTATTGCTGCGCGCGGGTCGCGTATTATGTAGGTGGAAAGCGACTTGAGTATCACAATAACAATAATAATAACACATAATATTATTATAATGGGATGTTGGACGCAAATTGCTATGGAATGTCTTGTTTCTATCACTAACCTATAGTAAAATATTATTATTATTATTATTATCATTATCTTATTTTGTGTTTTTGATTATCATAGACTACACCGCAATACAGAATAAAATAATATTATGTAAGAAAGAAATAATAATTTTGTGTACTCAACATTTCATTTATCTAAATGCAACACGTGATGGTGCGTCGTTGACGCACACGGTTTAAGGTTTATTTTTTTGTTGTTTTTCGTTTACACATCATTCAATCAGATGTATAACGAATGTACAGTCATTATATAATAATAGTAAGTATGCCTATTATCGATAGGTATATGGGTATTAGTAATATTATGTTCGACTTGCACGCGATTATGATATTATAATATTACAGTTTTCTGAGGCTTAAAACGTAATTTGATCATTTGGTAGCGACACACAAAACACTTACGTACGCTATAATAATGTATAATGCCATGCCGTCCGTTTGAAAACCACGTTGACGTTTAAATACAACGAGATTTACAATAATAATTTTATCGTGGTGTAAATCGGCCGCCACGGCCGTGAGTTTAGGACAGTGCGGCGACAAGACGGCGGCCAGTCTAGCACCATCATAAGTCTCATTGCGGATATAATGAAAAAATCAAAAAAAAAAAAACAATTTTCATTTTGACGCCAAGTGTGGTGGTTTTAACATCGAACGAAACGGACAAAATTAAAAACTTAAAGATAGTTGGAAAAAATGCAGACACAGTAATAATTATATTAATAATAAATATATATATATATATTTTATAAATATATAATATATATATATATTTGGAGGTATATTGTAATCTGTAATGTTATAATATAATCGAATTATCAATTAATTAATGTCTACATGAAATATAATAATAATAGTTATAATATAATAATAGGTAATTTAAAATTTACATAAATAAAACTAATCGTAAATTTATCAAAATTATTAATTTAATTACATTTTTTTTTAGTATTTTGCTTGTTTTAATTTTTCATGTATAATAACTATAATAATAATAATAATAATAATATATAAAATTGGAACATCAGGTTAATACGCACTAGGACAAGATTTCTTTCTCTCTCTATATAATATATATATATATAATATACCGTCTACGTTTCGTAATATATATGTATACATTAATAATATATAAATTTAATAACAAATAAGGGATCTGTGGTTGTGATGTGGGTGGTGGTTAAAAGGATTTGTATTGTGTGTCGTATATAATACGATATACGATATATATATATAGTACAACTACCTATATATTGTAGTGATGTTATTTTATTTAGTGTACTATAATAATATTGTTATTGATTTAAATTTAATATCCTACAAACGTGCCGGGTGAAATCAAAACGTGATGTGGTATTATTAATTTATAATATTAAAGTGAACTAATTAATGTATGATTAATATGATTCCAAGTGTAATGTACAATATTATCGTAAAATAGAAATGATAATAATTATTATATTATTATGTTTAATGTATAGTAAAACACATTGTATCTTCTTTTTTTTCCATCGAGAGATATGTATGAAAAGATTTCAATATAACAACATAATATTATATATTATATCGATCGAATAAAAAAATTGTTCAATTTTATGATTTGTCGACTCAAGTTGTGTTATGATTATTATAAGTTACAGCTGTAATTATAATATTATATTATATGTTGATTCACTCGATTTATAAACATAATTCAGTGTCAAGTTTATACAATATATTGTTAAACAACTATAATATTGTGTAATCTAAACAGAAATTGAGCATACAATAAAAAAGTAGCATTTGCCCTGAATATATAGTATAATGGCAATAATTTGACGTACATAATGTTTTTTCTTAGTTTCGTTTGAATAAAAATAGTAAAAACATTCGAGTGAAAATCAATTAATAATAAAACGATTTGCTTTTGTATTGAGGTAATATATATATTATATTATAAAAAAAATCAACGTTAATTGTATGAAAAATAAAAAATAAAAACTTTAAAAATTATGAAAAGGGTTAATGACGATGGGGAAACATTTTTTTAAAGAAAAAACAAAAATTCGCAGTATGAGAAGGGTACGACGAGGTTCTAATGTATTATGCATAATATATCTTAATAATTATCATTTAGTCCTGCAGTGGGGCAGTGGGGTATATAGTGGGGTAGTAGTGACACAACAATGTAAATCACTGCTGAAATAGGTATTATAATATTATTATTATGTAGTATAATATAATATTATAATACGGTAAAACACAAACGATAAACGGTAAGCATATTTTATATAATATTATAATAAAATGGCAGCAAAAATGGGAGTTGAGATCGTCTAATAATAATAATGTATATAAAGTGGGCTTAGTAAAAAAAAAAATTAAAAAAATTAATCATGACTAGATTTTCAGTTCAATTATAGCGGCTCTGTGTGTATGTTTAACGAAAATATTATTATTATGCATATTATTTATTATTAATACGACAAGACGCGTACTACCCGTGTGGTGTGATATACGTCATGATGATGAAGACAATAATAATATTATATTCTACACAACAGTCAGCTGTAAATGTGTTTCTCATCTCTTCTACTGTTCCTCGTCCATCTCGCGTTCGCCATCCCGGCTGTACATGTCAGCCAGCTTGTCAAAATGCGAACCCCAAGACACCAAGTACTCGTAGTCTTGGTGATCGTCTTCGGTACCTGCAAACGCAAATGTGCAATTAATATAATTGTGCCGATTATTAATATTATCAGTCGCTCGTGTTACGTATGATTGTGAAAGATATTTTGAGCGAGGTCGTTGTTCATTTTTAGTGTAATTTTTTCATATAATTATAATATATAGAGAGTAAATTATTAAATTTTCTATGATATTTTTAAAATTTAATGAAATTCTTCCATGTACTTTTACATAGTGGTACACTGGTATGAAGGTATCATGAAAATTTCAAGGTTCCGACTATCAAAGTTTTAGCTTTATGTAGATTATCAATCAGTCTGTTAGGAATTTTTTTTTTTATTAAATAATGATATAATTTGGTTTAGTATATTATACATTAATCTTCAATCTTATATTTAGCTGGTTAACATTAACATGGATGGATAAAAAATCATATAATTTCATGGAAAAGAAAGTATAGTATAATTTGTCAGAGATGCGAGAATGAAGTGGGCTGGCATGTCTGGAAAGCCACTGGAAAGCATTATCAAGACTGTACAAAAAGGAGAAATACTGTACTATTGTGAGCAATTTTAACAGGCAAAGATCACGAGGTAGACCAAAGCAACGATGGTTAAATACTTAAATGTAGTCAAAAGAGACTAACAAGAATTGAGATCAGATTGGCGTGGGGACCTAAATCAAGCGTCTAATAAAGAGGAGTGGAAAAAATTAGTACTGGCAGCAAAGGGCTTAAATGGTTTATAATGCTAAAAAAAAAAAAAAAAATAAAACATAAACATCCGAGCCCTAGATAAGGTTATATATAAATACATGGTATATATTAAAATACTAACTGAATAGCTCGTCATAGTCGGTTTGAAGTTTATTTATAAAAAAATTGATAGTACATAAATATTAAATAATATATTGATAATATTTTTGTAAATATTTCAATTTAAACTGAGTAGGTAAACCATTCTAACATTTCATAATGACTTAAATTGTTATAACTTATAAGGAAATAACTACGTATTCTATTATTAAATTGTCATTTGTTCAGAAAAAACATACAATGAAATGTGATTTAAATTCTGTTATTTTAATAATGTTTTGTATTATATTATGCAGACATCGAAAAAACTAAATATTTCGCCCGATTATTTTAACAAAAAATGAAAATTTCAATTAATTAAGGTAATAAAATTATAATATTTTCTAATAAACAATATTTGCTGTATCTTTTGTATCTTTTTGTTGTTTGATAGTATTTGTATTTTCAATAGATCTAACTCGGGACATAGCAGTATAAAATAATTTACTATGATTAAATAAAAGTTGGGATAAACATATAGGTAATACTATTTAATTTAAGATTTGGCTCAGTGTTTTGTTTATTATCATATTATATATTTATATGTGTTATTGTTATTGGAAATCAACATCTTGTAGTAAACGTAACTTCACAAAAAACTTAATTATTCTTATATCTATTTTTTAAAATTTTTTTATTAAATGACTTATCTTCAAAACGAAAACTAACGTTAAAAAAAAGAAATTAGTTGGGTATAACTTCAGGTACTTACATATTATGTTCAAAGAATTCGCGACATATTTTAATAACATAATATAGAATATCATCGATGTGTACATTATATAATTTACCTGTGTTTAATGATGACAATGATCCGGCAGTGCTGCCGCCTCCTTCGTAAGCGTAATTGCGTAAGTCATCGAACGGCGGGGCGTTTGGATCGCCGTCCGCGCGTTTCTTATGGTCTTCGATGAATATGCCTACATTGGGTTCTACACCCACAGGCATTGCGGGATCTAAAAAAAATCGATTGTTAAGTACCTACTTTCTGTATAAACTGTGATATGGTGGTTAACAATGTACCAATGATTGTATACTATTTGTAGATATGTGGGCATTGAGTAGTTAAAAACTATTTAAAAAAAAATTTTTAACGTAACTACATCATTGTCGGTTAATTATATAACTAATCGTTAAAAATTTCTTTAATTTAATAAATTTACCAGTTAATAACATATTTTTCCAATTAATTTTAAAAATAATATATTAAAATCATATTTATTGTTTAACATATAAAATATAAAATTTTAAATTAATTAGTTTGTTTTTCTTTTAATCCCTCAAATATACTGTAAACATATTAAATGAAAACAAAATAATAAATATAACAAGTGTACAATAAACATAAATATATAGTGGGATAAATATTTAGTAAAATTATATAGTTATTATTTTAAAAATAAAAAGTTGAAAGTTGCACTATCACTATAAGGTTAAGTGCTAACATTTTTTTTTTTTTAATCTAGTGATATTATACTACTAGTATTTTTCTTCAATGGAATTAACTTGAAGCTGAAAGAGTTAAAATTCTATTGTTTGCTAGTTTTCATGATTTGTATAATTTAATATTTTAAATGTTGACCCAACTGAAAAGGATGCCGCACCCGCATGTATTATCTTCGTCTTACATACAACATAGCAAATTCTCGTTTAGCAGAATCCATTTTATGTAGTTAGCTTTAACATTAAAGTAAATTTACCTTTTATTAAATTTAAAGGTAAGAATTTTATTCAGGCCATTACATAGATTTTTATTAATATTACAATTTTAAAGTTATTTTAAATTTTTAATATTTTATATAGCTATAACTTAGTTTAAAATTAAAATATCAATAAAAGCCTATGTAAAGGTTAAGATTAAATTCTTACCTTTAAATTTGATAACAAGTAATTTTACTCTAATGTTAAAGCTAACAACATAATAATATAAAATGGACTCTGCTGAACGAAAATTTGCTATGTTGTATGTAAGAGTATAAGACGGAGACAACACATTCGAGTGTGGCGTCCTCTTAACCAACTCAAATTCATATTTCTAATAACTTATCTATCTCTGAATTCGTAGTAGGTAACTAGGTAAGTATTTATTAAAATACGTACATTTATATTTCTGCGGGTGCATGTTATTCATTGACCCGCCGATGGGTATCTGTAACGGCGTGATGTCAAACGCGGTCATGTCGTCTTCACCACCGCCCTCATCGTCGTAATTGATTATGTTTTCTCTGACGTCATCATCAGGTCCAGGATATTTGATGTGTGATTCGCGTCTCCGGTTGTATACGACAAACATCAACACCAGAACTGCGTGTCAGAAAAGACAAATAATAAGGTTACTAATGATGTGTGGATAAACGTGTTAATAGTGACGCATTTTGGAAAATTGTTTTTATTGTACTGACAATGATACACAGTGGATACAGGAGCACTACTTGTATGATATCACACGTATCACTAAATAACCCGATGTTGAGTAAAGGTGTTTATGTCAACGAATTAAGGCTTGAAATCGATTTTAAGTATTGATTACAATCGTTAATGTTACAATTGTTAATGTTTTTGATTTAAAATGAAAATGAAAAATTTAAACCTTAACTATAGTAACCAGAACTACAATATTGTTAATGAATAGGTTATGTTTATAAATAATAGTAGATATTTCGTTTTCTTTGGTCTGTTTCACAGTACAACGCATATAGGTTGTATATAGGGAAAAATATGAATGATGTATAATAAAAAAAAAAAGAATCTTATTAAAAAATCAGAAAACAATTAAATCAATATTATGCTACAATATAAATGAAAAAAAACTGATATCAATAAACGAAATAGAAATAAAAATTAATACTTTTCATTTTAATTTCAAGCTTTATTACGTAAAAGATTGAAAATTTAAATTAACATCTTTATCCGTATTATTATATACTTCAACTATTTTAAGCTTTTTGTGAGCATAATACTCATAAATAATTTATTTTAAAGCTCAGATGGATTTTTATATTGTTTCCCATTTTCTTACAATTTGTTGGAGACAGAAATTACCAAAATAATGCTTTTACAAATCGGGAAAAATAAACAGTAAAATGTCATATAAATTTATCTGTGCGCAAGTATAGTTATGGTTAGGTTGGGTTACAACACATAGCAACTGCACTTACTGAGAATTATAAGGAGACACACCAGTATGGCGGCTAGTGCACCCATGCCAAGTTTCAGTTTTTGGCCTTCTTGGACCAGCTCACAGTTCTCGCCCCAAAAGCCATCCGGGCATATGCAACGGTAACGTATCCTAGGGTCTTGGTTCAGGCAAACACCACCGTTCCGGCACGGACTGTCCAGGCACTCATTCTTATCCACGCAGCCTTTGCGGTCTGGAGTCATGATCCTGCCCTCACCGCAACTGTAATATAATATAATGTGAAAAGTCAAAATCGGTTTGTTATTCAATTGTGGTGTTATAAGAATATATTGTAATACAATATGTTGGTAAATATAGTCATAATAGCAAATATCGAGGAGGTATGTTTTAAAGTCTCCCTCCCTTTTTCTCGTAAGAAATCGAGATTTTATATAATTCATTTTTATTTCTAAATTAAAATTGGTAACCAAATGATGGGTTTTAAATAATAAGATTAATCACATTTTTGTTAGAAAATTATTTTTATGTAAAAAAATAGTTAAAATATTTTAATCTCTATGATAACATTTTAAAGGTATAAGAATAAAAAGACTATTATATTGGTATTATGAACAACTATTTTATAAAATGCTATTTTTTAAATGGTTAAACAAAAATGACCCGAATAACATCATTATTAGTAGATAATAATTCGTAGATAGCTTTGTGTTTTGAACGATTTTCTAAAACTGAGATAAAAATAAAATTAATACGATTATTATTTTATGATTTTTGTGTACGAAAATTAATAAAATCATATTTATCAATAAATTGGATATAATGTTTAAAATTTTAAGACATCTATTACTCCTACCTAATTTAAAATAAAAAATATAGGCATAAATGATAATATATTTATTTTATCTATTAATATATAACTCGTAGTATTCATTCGAACGTTACAAGAAAAGTTTTTTTTAGGAATTTCGGAATATGAGAAAAGCCTTTTAGGATTTCAGAATGGATGTGAGCCTCCCCAAACAAAAAAAAAAAATAAAAAAATTTCGAACTATATTTTGCGTTTATAGGTTACGAGTACTATCGTAATTATATATATTTTTCAGATTTCACGGTGGAGATAAACAGATTATAGAACTTACGTGCAATCATAATAGTTCCAAAGATCGACACATTCAAAAGGTTCCTGACAAATAACGTTGGCACATGGTTTGTTTGATGGGCAATTCCTTTCAACGTTTCTGGCCATGGTAGCTTGTCCCCATTGTGTTCCGTTGGTCGCCGGCGGTAACGGCAAATATCTTCCTTCCAAACGTATGTCATCCAAACAACCTTGAACGATTTTACAATATATATAATGATGTATATATATTACACATAGTAATACAAATTTGAGATGAAACACCACCATATAGGTGATGTGAGATTCACATTCTTATTAGTTATACTCGCAAAACGAAGTTAAACAATTTTCGTAATTGTACCATGAAGATAAGAAAATTTTAATTAGGTAACTAAAAGCCCGATTTCAATTGACTCACTAAATAAATTGAACATTTTAGTTACTATTTCACACACTTCTTACGATTTAATTGAAAACTATAAACTTACGTATAAGTAACAATAATTATTATAAAAAAATTGGACTTTCAATGAGACTATCGTCTTTCTTACAAAATAAAAATAGTTTTAATCAGTTTTATGATACAGTAGAAATCACTATAACGAGCATCGCTTAGAACGAGATACTGCTTACAACAAGCAAAACGTTAGGTCCCGGCACAAGGCCATATGATTGTATGTTAAAATATACGTCTACAACGAGTATGGTTATTACGAGTTATCGGCTATAACGAGTAAAATAAAACGAACTTGACTAACGACCTTCCGGTTACTACGAACAGGTACCTGCAAAATAACAACTTTTGGCTATTATTTAGGTCGATTAACCATTGACATATATTATCTTTAGTTGTGTAGATATGGATTACTTATTAAAAATAAACATTATTCCTACAAATTCTGGTGTTTTCAAGTTAATAAAAATTACAAATAGCGTCAGTTGTGTGAAGACGTTCCACCATGTCGCGTCGTCAGTTTACGTTGGACGAAAAAATCGGAATAATCGGGCGGTTAGAAAATGGCGAGAAAAACAGCGTGATCGCAAAAGAATTTGGCACCTCTTCGTCGAAAATTTCAACCATATGGAAGAATCGGGATCCGTTGAAAAATATGTTTCAAACCACGTCACTTAAAGCAAAACGACTGCGTACTGCACAGCATAAGGACCTTGAAGAAGCTGTACTAGTATGGTTCAAACAACAACGGTTATTGAATGTGCCTATAAGTGGTCCTATTTTGCAAGCAAAAACTGACCAACTGGCTGAAAAAATGAAAATAGAAAATTTCAAATGCTCTGCATCTTGGATTCAGCGTTTCCGACAGCGGCACAACATTGGTTTCGGCAAGATCTCAGGTGAGTCATCTGCAGTTAATACTGATATTTGTTCTAATTGGCTGGCTAACGTTTGGCCATCCATTCGAGCAGGTTACTGTGATGATGAAATTTATAATGCCGATGAAGCAGGCCTTTTTTTCAAATTAACTCCCGATAAGACTCTTCGCTTCAAGGGGGAAAAATGCTCGGGTGGAAAATTATCGAAAGACAGAATAACAGTTTTAGTGGCAGCCAACATGACCGGAACTGATAAAAGAAAACTCCTTGTTATTGGAAAGTCGAAAAACCCTCGGTGTTTTAAAGGAGTTTCATCACTTCCAGTATTTTATGAAAATAATACCAAAGCTTGGATGACCTCAGCAATTTTTGAAAAAACTCTTAATTATTGGGATGATGAGTTACGCCGTAAGAAAAAAAAAATTCTTCTGTTGGTGGACAACTGTCCAGCACACCCATCATTGCATTTGAAATTTATTAAACTTATATTTTTGCCCGCCAACACCACTGCTGTACTTCAACCAATGGACCAGGGCGTTATTAGGAACATTAAAGCTCATTACCGGAATCAGTTAGTACTGAAAATGATTGAGGATATTGAGAATCATGTAGAATCAAAAATAACTGTTTTGGATGCCATAATAATGCTGGATAAAGCTTGGTGTAATGTAACATCGACGGGGATTGCTAACTGCTTTCGGCATGCAGGTTTTTGTAATGTTTCGATCGATACAACACAGCTACAAGCAGACAGTGTATTGATTAATGACATCGATGAGAACTACGTACAAATTGATGACGACCTCATAACGTCAGAAATTCAAACGGATGAAGATATAGTCAACAATGTCATAGCCAACCAACGAGTTGAGCCAGATACTGGTTATCAGAATGATACTGATATCGATGAGCTTGATGATGAGTTTGAAACTGTGCCGTCAATATCCGAAGCTCGTGCTGCATTGAGGACACTAGAAAGATTTTATTACACAAAATATGAAGGTACAGATGCTGAAAGAAAAGCGTTGTATTTATTAGAAACATCGATCAACACTAAATACACGCAGCAAAGTTTGATCAAAGATTATTTTAAGAAATTAAATTCAAGTGTTTTATAATTATGTTTAAGTAATATGTATTGATAAATAAATTATTAAATCTCCAGTTATAATAATTAATAATAAATGTATGTAATAATGTATAAATAGTGTATGTGCATACATGTATAAATTCAGTATTAATCTCGAATATAAGTAAAATAAAAAAAGTTGTCGGTTTTATTTTTGTATTTCCCGCTTTTAATCGGTTACAACGAATGCTCGTTCTAACCGCATATAACGAGCTACCGGTTATAACGAGAAAAACTAACTGGCCATTGAAACTCGTTATAACCGATTTCTACTGTAACTTCAAAAAGTTACACAAGGGATTATTAGTGTTTTATTTTTTGTATGGAATTTATAACATCTAAAGACGTCACTTTTCTCCCCTCTCATTACCTTTTTGGAAGTCGCCGTATACTTCAAATGTTCGAACACCCGTGTATTCGGCCTTTCCACCAGCATACACTCCTTCTTGCTTGTCTACCATTAACCACTGATGTCCTTCGAACCGATAAGTTTCGTTATAATGTTTCCCTTCGCCACCATCTAGTTCTAAAATGGCTGATGAACCGTATCTTGATACTTTGGCCGTGTGCCATTTGCCGTCATCAACGGTTATGGCACTTAGCCACACATCCCTTTCCTCGGTCCGTAAGCTGTTCAAGTTATACCGGAAATGCAGTTTGCTGTCTTTAATCTACCAACACAGTATAATATAATTAAATATATTCGGTTAAAGTAAGTATTTTCGTTCGAATTTCAAAAATTATTTTTATAAGTCTGAAGATATTTATCATTTGTTTTTATTGTTTTATTGTAAGTATATATTCAAATTAGAAGCGATAGTATACGAGTACTAAAAGATCAGGAAATTAACTCAAATTTAAAAGAAATATATTGTTAATAAAAAACAAAAGTGAAAATTTAGGTTTGATTTTGGAAAATGTATATCATGAGTCACGACATTTTAAAATGATTATTTGGTGATCACCAAATGAGAAACACCGGATGTGTAAGGGACCAGTGGATAAATCTATATTTATACATGCATTTTCTAAATTGCTGAAACACTATTTTTATTTTACCCAAAACAATTTTTATGTTAAAGAACATTTAGAAATATTTTGAGCACTTCAATATATGGTTAGTGTTATACTTTTAAGTTTAACATATTTCACAACCAAAACCTTCTATCCTTTCGATGATTGCTCATAAGTGGAACACTTAATAATACAGGCAATACTACAATTTATTACTACTACTTCTACTTCTTTTACTCATTATCATAGGTAATAATAATAGTATCGAACCTCGAGAATGGCATATTCACGGTTGTGCTGGTCGCTGACTCTGAACAATTCTCCATGTTCTTCCCGCGTCCTAAACCTCAACTGAATTTTTGTCATGAACTTGTCAGCGTCGAACGATAGGGCGTACTTCACGTAACTCTGGGGCCGGAACGTGGTTGGTATGGTGGGTGTGAGGCAATCAGCGCCTGACCAGCCCGGATTGCATTCGCATCGCGGTTCCACCATACTACCTACGCACGATCCGTGTTCAGAACACCTGTGGCCGACCAATTGCATGCACAGATCTTCAGTTTGCGGACATCCAGCTACGCTGTTTCTGGTAAGTCCTGGATTGGCCAAATCATAGAGCTGTGAATCCAGTAAATAACATGTGTTAATTATATGATATTTTATGTTTGTTATTGAGACTACTTATATTTTATAATTCACCAAGATACTATAATACCATAATATAACAAACTACTCTAAACATTACAAAACATACAAAATTATGTAAAATAAAACTAAAAAATTTTATGATTATGTTTATGCATACATGATTTTTTTGAAAACGAAATAAAAAATATAATATTTTATAATATATCAAAATTGTACACTTCTCCATATTTCATAAAATAAATAAACAAATTTATAAAAAAAAAATATATATTTTTAAAGAATTTATAGTAAATAGATTTTATATTAAAATATTATAATACATAGGCGCCGAATGTTATGCTATTCAAATTTCCAATAAAAAGTAAAAATAATAGTTATATGCATTAACATCTAAAATATGTAAAACAAAATGTATTCTTTAGAATGGCGGTATCTTGAATTTAAGTTGTATACTTTTTATCTTACCTAATTTGTGTCAAAAATTTAATTAATTAATTTATAAATAAATAAATATTAATGTACATATATTAATATTAATATTCGTATTAATACATATTAAATTTAAGTACAGTAAGTAAATAATATATTAAACAATATATGATGAAATGTGTATGTATACCTCTACTACATAATAAATACAAATCAAAAAATTTCGATTAAATATTAGTACTAGAAATGAAAAGAAAATTTTAAATACAATATATGCATGTAGACAGATGAAATCGTAAAAATAATCCTCTCAGAAATTAACAGCAGTCTTGTATAGCTGATATTATTAATGCCGATGCATTCGAACACAAACGCGGTGGTAGTAAATTAATAATATATGCGCGATGAATATTAAAATAATAATAATAATATGCACCATTATCATTAAATCAAAAATCACTTACCTTGCTGTTGTGATAGACATTTTTGATGCAGCCGTCGAACCCTTTACCGTATGGGGCAGATTGCCAGTGGTAGTGAGTGGGGTCAAAGTCCTGTACATAACGGCCGCCGATTTGTAGCGGCGAATTGATATTCAAGTACTCGTTGAACGGCGGAATCGTTCCCTGGGCTTGGCACGAGGTATCGTCGAACTCTGGATGTGAACCGTCTTCTAGTTCAGAGATGTCCGCTGAACGGCAGTTATCCACCACCAAACGGATATTCTGAAATTTGAAAAGATCCGTTAGAGAGTTATACGCTCGAAAATACAATAATATAATAATTTATGTACATAAATTATAATTATTATTTTTAGTTCATAAATACCTCTGTATCCCAGAATACGTCAATTTTATGCCACTCGCCGTCGTCCAAACTCTTTTTTGTTTTGACTTTAAGCTCTAATGTACCGGACCCAAAATCTATGAGTAAACGCGGTTGACCCCTGTCCAACTCGATTGATATGAAATCTGTGAAAAACACGTTTGAAAATATTAATCAATGTGCATGTAGTCCAACAAAATTCTACAAAATTAATTGTTTTTAAACTTTAATATACATAGAATTTTTGACGAATATCGACGATCAAAATTAAATACTACAAATAATATGTATACAGATAAGTTTATTTCTGCAAGATGACATATTATATCTACAGATTATTACACTAATTAACTAATTAATACTAGAAAAGTTATTTGTCTAGAGCTACGAATAAAAAAAATAAATAAATATTGTATGATTATTAGAAGGAATTAAATTTAATATTAATGATTTTAATAATGTACATTAATATTTATTGTACGACATTTTATTGTGCACGTTTGATCACGGTTAACTATGTATTTTTTTCATAATGTTTAGAATTATTACATTTTTCATACTTCGATAAAGTTTATATCAGAACAATTGATAACAATCATTGAATAATTTTAGATTATATTAGTTTATTATAACAATTATTTATTACAGTATTTAAATTGTGTTTTAAAGTAAAATCAATTAAATAATTTTATTTTTTTCAAATTCTAAATTGCATGTTTTTTATACTCTTAGTGCATTAGTGTGTAGTCGTTGAACAATTTTTTAGATTTAATTTATTACTTTTTAAATAATACGGTTTTTATTCTTAAAAAAAAAAAAAAAACAAAAGTGTGTACTTTTAATTTTATACACACACAATTCATACCTGATACAAGTGTTTCTTCGGGTTCGGGTGGTACGATAGGACCGTTGTACAGCATTAGTCCGTCCGCTTTTCTTGTTACGAACTCGAGGCTTAGATGAGAGTTATCACACATCTCTAAGGGTGGATACCACGCCCATCCGCTACCCTTAAAGCTCCTGGCCGTCTGCTGGCACCTGGGTCCGTTGAAGCCATTCAGGCATTCACATGTCGGCCCATTTCTGGTATCTGTACACCGCCCACCGTTTAAACACGGGCTTGATCGGCACGTTTCGATTTTTGTAAAGTTTCGGGCTCCGCAAGTACATTCTGCGTAAGTGTCGATTCGGACACCGACCAGTGCTGTCTTGTTAGCATTCACCATGTACGGAAGCGTATTTATTTCGAATACGTTTGTGCAACTGCCCTCGCAGTTTACGTACTCGTACAGACACTCATCAATGCCAACCATGGTGATGTTTATTCCCACGTCTTTTTCAATCTGAACGTAGGAAAAAAAATTAACACATATTGGCTAATTCAATAAATTACGCATAACAGAATTCTTATATTTTTTCTGAGTTCAACGTAAGTATATTGTAAATGATCTCTATCCTGCAGACTAAAACATTTTTTGTTGTAGCGAGGTATTACAGGACTTAAGCTTTGTCATGATTGTTAGTTCGGTCGATTTTACAAAGGTCAATAGGATATTAGATTTTTATAATTAACTACCTGATACCTCGCTCAAGTATAAAAGCAACTAGTATATTCAAATTAAAAAGTAATAGAAAAACATATTAATATAGCATGACTTAGTAGTATGTGATTTGACGTTAAATTAGGAATATAAGCTTAAAACGACCTGAATAAGACAATATTTAGATAAGTAAAAAGTAAAAAATGACACCACCTGTACATTAAACAATTTAAAAATAATATTATACTCCCTAATGAAATAAATGTATTAATATTGATTACAGAAATACTATAAAAGTGTCTATATTATTTAAGATTTTTAATTTTAATTTTTACCTAACATTTTTAAACTTTTTTTGAATTCTGGATGGTTATTCAATAATAATATAAGATATAATCTGAAGATTAAAGCGATTATCATACCTCTTCGCGGTGCATCAATACCAAACCGTTAAGTTTCACCGTTTTATAGTAAGGAGATCCGTGAGCAGAGAACCTGATGTCGGTCAACGGGGGGTACTTTTGTTTCAATTGAACACTAAAAATGTCAATATTTTCTCTGGGTGTATTTAAAATGTCCACAAGTTTATCCTTGAATTTATCGGCTTTGCTCCTGACTAAGCTCTGTGTCTAATAATGTAACAAAAAAAAAAAAAGAAAAGAAAACGCATGTTAGCGAATCGACTTTCAAATAATTGTTTTGCATTAGGCGTTTACTCTATAGTTCCATATTCTGATAAAATCTTCATCGGATATGCCAGCGATACGTATGGACCCTGCATTCATAACCGCCTCGGGCGAAATTTCTTTGACCGTGACCGTTACGTTAGCAGAAATGTCCGTTTGAGTATGTTTACGGTCATATACTTTGAACCGCAAATGGTATTGGCCCTCTCTCGTACCATGGCGCATCATGATCATTCCTGTGGTGTCGTTCAGCTTAAATCGGGGATGTTCAGTGCCGTCTGGGTAGAATTTTTTGTCCGGCAAATCCCAGTCGTCCAAATCGTACACATACACGCGACCGATTTCTGTGTCCGGAGCTTGACCCTAGATTGGTTTTTAACAGTATATTATAATTAAGATTATTAATATAATAATATTATATAGTTAAAATTATTAACCACAATAATGATAAACTAGAAATAATGTGAACGCGTTTTCTTCTACTCATGTTACGTATGTATAGTAGAATATTTTAAATTTATTTTCTAGGTTTCTTTTTCTTATACCGTAAGTACCTATGATATTAATCCACATCGATATATGGCAGTTAATATTATTTAGATCGTGGCGATTGATAAAGAAAAGAGTAATATTTATTGTTGTGTGATATGATATAAAAAATTAATCATTCTAAATTATTTTAAAGTATTAGATTGGTTTGAAAATTAATACTTATGTATTTTACATTATTAACCGCTTGGTTTAAATCAAGTTATAAAACAATGTGTAAATAAATTTTATCAAAAAACATTTTCAAAATTATGTGGTACTGAAATATTGGTTTAATGTTTACGTCAATTTGACTCTTTAACAGTTTTAATATCATAACAGTAATAATTGTTGTCGATATTATACCCAACGACTAATCTACTGTTAGTATATGGTGAGTGTCATAGGCGCACGCACAGGACGTGTAGGGTATTCCCAAGCACGCCCTGTGAAATTCAGGGGCCGAAGTGTCCAATGTTTCAATCAAATTGCCCGTATATTCATATTAATTGCTATAAGTATACCTTCATTACCAAAATCAATTTTAGATTATATTTTTAAAGCAGATTTGAAAAATTAGGATAATTCACTGTGGTACACTCAATTTTTAAAAGTTTGTATGTAATTTAACGTGTGGACGTGTAGTAACTATTATAATATATTAAAAATCATTATGAGTTAATAGTAATTGTGTACTTAGGAACCAATTGTTCAACTAACAATTTACAAAGTAAAACTTGTGATAATCTATTATTGTCTATCGATAATATTATTCGTTTATTATTCTTTTTATTAATTGTATTTTAACTTGAATATTAACTTGTCATGTCTGCTCTATCAGAAATGATGTATAGTAGAATACAATCATTATTTTTCTATTAAATTTAAATTCAAAAAAAGCTTAAAAAAAATTTTAATAGTTTTAATATAGAAGGCCGATAAAAACATATGGGCACTACCTACTTCTGGAATCAGCGCACGCCTATTGGTGTATGATGTGAATATATTGACGTTAATATTTACAAAATATTATATAATTATTGTTTAATTGTATATTTTAAATCTATAATAAGTATAGGCTGCATTTGGAAAACATAGTAGATGATGCAAAAATTAAATATTTTAAAAACAATAATAAAAACTGAAAAAATTGGCATTGATAAAAATTAATATTGGAATATAAGTCATAGACTATTAATTCTCCTTTTACTACTTCACGTCCTATTTTACTACTTTTGGGAGGAGAAAACTATCTTTTATCCTCTTCGAATAATATCAGGGGAAATTTTCACTCCATGCTACCTCTCCTCTATTTAAATGCGACATATTATTATAAGGTTATTTTTAGCAACTCGATAACATGTTTTATAGAATATATTCAATACATATTTAAAAAAATGTTGGTAACTTCCTCCATATTTACGACAATATTCATAGCAAAAATTTTAAATATTATTATTTACCATATAATTGTAAGCGAATATTTCTTTGGATCCCGGCTGCATTTTGTTATCATTCACATCTCGAATAATGACCGTCAGAGTACTGGTGCCTGTCATTGCGGGATTACCGGAATCTTTGATCACGATTGGTATGAGATATTCTTTCTGTTGTTCTCGATCGAATGATCTAAGCGATGAGATTACAGCCATACCGTCACCGTTGGCACCCTCTAAAAATAAATTTTATAAATGATTTAACATAACATTGTGAAACACTAGTGGCAAACTAAGCCCATATCCGGAGGGGGGCATAAGGTGACTATTTCACTTAGATTTAACCATTGCTTCTTAGAAGATTTTTAAGTTTGAATAGAGGTACAAGCAAGATAAATGTTTATGAATGAAGGGAGAATCAGCCTTAAGTGTTTTTTTTTTAAATTAAGAGTACATCATTTTAGGGGAGAACTTTTAAATTTTTTTCATATGGTTTGGACCTCCTATTTGACCTACTTTTATACAGTGAGAGATGTTTTATATTTGACTCTATACTAATATTATATTAAATATTAAGCTAAATTATAAATATTAAGACAATGATTATAGTTAGTATTATGCAAAAATAAAATAAAAATCATCCACGGTATAATTATTTTTAATTTTTCTCTCAAGCCTAAAATTTGGTTTACTCCAATCCTAGTGTTTTATTGTTGCTACGGGCCTGTAGCGGATAAGAGACAAATGGTGCTGTTTATAGGTACTTTGATCGTGTTCAACTTTGAACGAAGCTCTAATCACGTCGTCTGCATTTGGATCCATTCTGAACGTAAATGGGGGCCCATTGCTTTTTGAACGGTCGTCGTCGTCGGTAGCTAAGACTTCGACGACTTTTCTGGCTGGTACGTGTTCTGGTAACACCGGTCGGTAATCACGGAGAAGCTTTGGAGCATTGTCGTTGATGTCTTGGACAATAACTGTGAGGGTGGCTGTTGCCGTTTTTGGTGGAACGCCGTCGTCGATGGCCAAGATTTTCACCTGAAACACAAGAAAACGTTAACAAAAAAAGACAGGCAGAGTAACTATAGTTTACTAAAGTTTACTATACAGATTTTAATGTTATATTAATTTTAATATATTTAGAGCTTTTTAATATTTTATAAAAAAAAGTTAATTTAAAAAATATTATTTTAAGATTCTACAAATAATTTTTTCAAAGTAAAAGAATAGCTAAAAATTAAACTCAAATTAATTGTTATACAATTAAAATTTTTAAAATAAAATTCTTATACTTATTGAACAATAGAATTTAACGTGTGTAACAATTATAAATATAATTATGTTACATGACACCTATGTATACACCTATTCATATGAACCCTACTTTATGTACGATTAACTGCTGACCGATACATTAATATTAACACACGTCACACACACACAATTGTAAGGCCTATGGCCAAGGACTTCGTAGGACTACGACACAGCCTTTTATTTTATTAAGATTACACCATATGTGAGTACTGTATTATACGTTTTCTATCAATTATTGATCAATAGTGACTGTCATTGAGTCCGTGGTTATTTAAATATATTAACGATCCTTTAATCCATCTCTACCCCCAACAATGGTTAATTATATCCATAGAACCTATGACTCTCCTTGGATATCTTATATTTAACTGGTCGTTCTTCTGACCACGTTACATATGCAAGATACCAATAAATCAATTATATTTTTGTAGTTATAAAATATTATTAAAAAAAATAATCTTTGGATTATAAAATAAGTTCTTATATGCTTATTTGATTTTTTTTAAATTATTTATATACGAATTGAAGTACTTTTATGGACTTATAGTATAGGTAGTACTAGTGTACTACAATACTTTGTTTTGATTTTTATTCATGAATTTTGTTCTGTACATTGCATTGGTTTTTTAAATATTATACAATATATAGTAATACGTATTAGTTATAATCACGAAACTTATCAATGTAATATATTATTTTGAAATTTGTATCTTACTATTTCAAAATATATTATAGACACTATGACATAATTACTTAAATTCGAAACATAAATTTCCGTACGCTATTATTATATAAGTATCTATATGTATAGCTAGAACTACTTACTTGATGCCTGGGAGTTTCCTCCCTGTCCAATTGCCGTTGAATGGAAACGGTTCCTTCTTGACTGATGCGGAACTGACGGCGCCGGTCGGATACACGGTCGATGGCGTACGACACTTTGCTCTTGCCTCCTTGGTCCGGGTCAGTGGCTTTGAATGTTTCCAAACTTTTGCCGACTTCCACGTTTTCGTACACTGACACTTCGATGTTGGGTCGTTCGAACTGTGGCTTGTTGTCGTTTATGTCGCGTAGTTTGACAACAACCCACGAGTATGCAACGTGATATTTGTCATGATCATTATCTTCGCCCTGGAAAATATCATGAACCATCCATTAATTACTTAATAATTTATTAGCTCTGTTATTCGAGCTCTGAGAGATTATTAGTAAGATTATCGAAATTAAAAAAAAAAAAAAATAAATTTAGTAGGGTTTTAAGTGGTTGTATAATATTATATGTTAATACCATATTTATAGATAGTTTTTATAAAAAAATGGTCACGCCGTCAAAAAACTAAGATGGTTTCATAGATAAAAGACCAATTTATAAATTTGAAATTAAATTTTTATTATAAAAAGACAAGAAACATTATGAATGCATAATATCGTATTTTTAAATTTTGTAAACATGAATTCAATTTATTTTATACATAATATGTGATGTCGAAAGATCGATTATGATTTATTAAAATTGCACAGTCAATATTTTCCTATTCGTTTTTAATGTGAAAATTTGATTGTAACAGGCATGTCGTATGTGCGCACGTCCTCTTAATCACGTTTAACCACTTTATTACCTTGTCATTAACTTGGATTCTGAAACGGAATCCGTTACTCTGTAGTTGATCCTCGTAATCCAACGGTTGAACAATTTTGAGCGATCCAGTGCCGTCATTGTTTCGTACCATGGTGAATTTATCTGCTCCGTAACCACTATTTTCGATCACCTAGAACGTGAAAAAACGAGCAGTTATAATATTATGATAACAAAATAATAGATTTTATATAAATATTACTAAGAAGCGGCCTCACTTTGTATTGGAATTTATTGGTCTCGTCTTCATCGTGTACCGTTACGGTTAATATGGGAGTTTCCGGGAAATTAAATCCGTCGGTCTCGTCGACTTCGGTGAGCCACTCTTCTTTTGTGAACTGTGGTGGCATGTCGTTGATGTCCTTCACGCGGATGGAAGCAGTGCCCGTACCTGTGTTAAAACAATAGTTGTACAGAAAATCAATCATCGAAAAGTTTCCACTAGACACGTGATGCTAATTCAGGACGTTATGTGCACATATTATGCATATTAATTCAAAGCTAGTCAAATTTATAATTTTTTTTGTTTTTTTGTTTACTATAGCACTAGAATATTGTATATTTTTACCAATTCTAAATTATATAAGTTTGTATACAGTATATTTATATTATAGTACTTTGTTGAAATATTTTGTCACTAAAAAAAAAAATTCCCATCAAATATTACCAAGAATATTTTTTTTTGTCATATTCCTAAATGAAATCGAATGAAATGTAATAAAAAAATAAATTGAAATCGAAATAAATTAAAACGAAAATTTAATTCGTGGTTTTCACCTTAATTAAAATCTAAAAAACAATTAAAATAAGTTAGTAGTTAAATAAATGGAAACTCAAAAGAAGTTAAACATAAGTTCAAAAGTTTAAATTAATTTAACTTTTTAACTTGTTAATGCCTTGCCTTGGATAATATATAGATTTAATAGAGTACCTTTTAAGCCTCCGCCGTCCATGGCAACCACTTGGATAGAATAGTCCGGAGTGCGTTCTCGATCTAAACAGCATACAGCTGTTTTGATGACACCAGTATCGGATTCGATTTCAAATATCGGAGTGCCAGTTTCTTCTTCAATCACGTTTTTCTCAATTGAATATATCAACTTAGCGTTAGTTCCTTCAGCTGGATCATCGTAATCCACTGCCGTCATTGTCATTACCACCATTCCTGTAAACGTAATCCGAAGATAAAATTATTGTGTTATACATGGTAATGTCAATTTATAATGTTTTAATGATAGTAATAGTGGTAATAATATACCATATGAAACATGAGTGATATAATGAATACAGTACATTTTAAGTATCTATAACAACTATCTAATAAATAATAACCCTATCTCGAATTTAAACTTTTTCTCTAAATCAATTTTTAAACCAACTTTTCTATTTTTTTTTTAACTTTAAACGGATAATAATACGGTTATAAAATCATGAAAACCGATAAGAATCACATTGGAAAAAATAGTATTCTAGAGTGTGGTGGCTATTTAAATTTGATAAAATATAAATAAAATTTATAATATTATGGATATTAAATTTGATATCGAACTTTAAAGTTGTTTGAGTTCAAAGTACCTATTCAATTCGAATACAATTACTAATAACAAGTTTCAATCTTTTTCAAAGTTAGTTATCAAGATTTTGATTTATTTACAAGTTTGTGTAAACATAAAATTATGTCCATTACTATACCATTATTATAAACTAATCTACTTGCATGATATATTTATACGAATCAAATAAATTTGATTAGTTAATATAACGAAAAAAAGGATATTATTTGTGATATACACATATGTACCTATATGGCTACATACTCTTTAATTACCTACTCCAGTCTTACAGATTCGTCCGACAACGTGAAAAATATACGTACCAGCTGTTCCATTTTCGGTTACATTTCCCCAGTACACTCCTTGTGGAAATACCGGCGCGTTATCGTTGATGTCTTTTAAGTTCACTTGAACGTCAGCATATCCAACTAAGCCTTCGCCCCCTTCGTCTTGCGCGAATACTGTAAATCTCCATTGTGGTCTACCATTTGGCTGATCTCTGTCTAAAGGCTATAAACACGTTTCAAGTGTGACATTTTAATAAAATATATTTTAGTTGACAGGCGCTATCGACTTGATTCGTTATAATTACCTTGAGAACGAATATTTCACCCGATGTACGATTGATGTCGAATTTACTGTTAGCTGGGTTGTCGGGATCAATTCCCTGTCCCGTGAGGAAATAAACGATGTTCTGTGGTCGATCTTTGTCGCCGTCTGTGGCCGTTACCTATATTATAATACATATATTATAGAGATTACCGTTAACATTTTTGAACGACGATGAGTTGACAAACATTCAACTAAGTTATGTAAAATTTAAAAAAGGTTGCAACAATGATCTACAACTATATTATTATTATAAATGTGTGCTGGATAAAACTGGATGCGACAAAACTAAATAGGTATCCTTACCTGTGGGGATCCGATTGGTTATAGCAAGATCTATATGCGAACCGGCGATAAACAAATCAGTAAATATACCCCTTCAATGTATAAACCAGCAGTCTTGTAAAATGCTCGAGTAAAATGAACTTTTCGAGTGAGTACTTGACATGAATTATAAATATTCTTTCAAGTGATTTGTACTTAAAATCAAATGCTAATAATTTTAATATAATCATGTTAAATAATAAAAAAATATGAGAATATTATATAATAGTTGTATATAATAATATATTTTTTGTATGTAGCTATATACAACTGAAAATTTAGAAAATTCAGCGGAAAAAGTTTTTGAGAGAAAACAGATGAATAATTTAAAGTTGTATTAAATAATACGACGTAAAACAGTCTACAAAATAATTTAAAACATGAAAAATGTAAAAAAAAAGTTTGGTTCAATTAATTATTAAGTGAAAAAAAAAATGTTCATAAATAATTTTAAAGTACTTTAAACTATCTATATTTATACTCAATACCTCTTTTACTGAGTATTCGTATAAGTATTTGTAACTAAATATTTGTTTACTTATAAAAAGTAGTTTTTACAAGACTGTAATCTGGTGTTATTATTGGCAGGCGTCCGATTATCCGTTCTATTTATCGGATACGTACTTGTAACAAATGGTGTGGATATGCTCCAACCAGTTCTTCTTCCATTTCGGTGGCATATAACGGAGAGTTGAATACTGGTGGCATGTCGTTTTTGTCGTTAATGTGAATCACCACCGTTGTTTTGCTATCTTGAAAGTTGTCGGAAGCGGCCAATATCAATTCGTACTACATTACAACCATGCAAACATGTAGATACACTTATCTGTGTTCTTATTTAATTACACCACATAGGGTGCATGAAAAAAGTGAAATGACGAAAAAGGTTATAAACCGTTATTGTTTAGAGGGGGTAGGGGAGTTGTAGGGGAGTCATACTGTACTTATAAATAGTATTACGATGTTATTATACTATTACTGCTGTTGTTTTTAAACGCAAATTCCTTTCGAATGAGTAAAAGAAGAAATACTACAACACGTGCTCATATTTTATAAAATATTATTGTTTTTATTGATAAACTGATAATCATAATAAATGTACAATTATAAACATGCCGCGTAAAAATAGTAAAATAATGCTAAACAAGATGATTTATCGTTATCATACTTTACCCCCTTATTTTTTTTTTTTATAATGTAGTTATTTTAAATCTGATTTTGAGCTTTTTAAATATAACTATTCAAAGAACATATTTTTAAACTTTTAAGATTGTACTCCTGAAGAGTTTTATGTGGAGAAACAAACTTCTTTTTTTTTAAATAAGAACCCCCTTTTCTACTAACAATTATTTAATTGATAATTTTTAAAACTTTAACAAATCAAATCAAATTATGAACGTTAAGTTTTTAAGTTATATAATTTTTTATACTAAGGATAATATAGGCTCAAAATGATTGATAATAATGGGCTTGTAAGATATGGGACTATGGGGGTTTGAAAATTTCATTGGTTATTTAAATTAACCTATTAACATTTGAAATATTTGTAAAAATGGTCTAAAATAAGTAATATTATAACAAATTTTCATATTAAATTTTAGATAAAGGAGTAGGGTATAGGGTATAATTATGTAATATTAACTATAAGTACAATAATTTATATCAATTTTTTAATGTCGTATTTATTTATAGCAAAGCATTACCAAATCAGCTAGGATTATAAATTATTGTTAAGTAATTTCAAGCACTATTTTCCTTAGTATAAAAGGTTTCAATGAATAAATAAATATCAAATCATGATTTTGATTTATTTAAATGCTCAAAAACATTATCCATTAAATTTTATACAGTAAAAAAGGGCGGTTTTACTTTAAAAGTATAAAATAGCTTAAAAATCAGAATTTAAATAAATTCATCCACTAAAATAAAATATGGGGGTGTTCATGCATGGCGAATCACCTAGTAGAACACAATATAATATTATACCTTATTATATTATTTTATATAAGTGAAAACTATTAACGGTTAGAATGCCGCTCGTGCAAAACTATGTAAAGGTATTAGGTAGATACAACGATATAATATTTGATCGTTGCAATTAAATGCGTTTTGATGCAGTGGCAGTCGATTTGCGAGTGGTAGCACTCGAGACCTAACTAATTGATAATTATAATACCTATATAATATATGCACGGTAAAATACGTCATGCTACATGCAACTGGAAATTGTCTTAAAAACTACGTGTGCATTTAGCAAGCGCGCCGGACCTGTAAGACGCGTTTGGGCAAGTTCCGGTCGTCCTCTTCCGTAATCTGTGTCCTGTACGTAGGCCGTTCGAACACCGGTGGATTATCGTTAACGTCTTTCACGTGGATCACGACTATCGTGTGGTTTTCTTTCAAGTTGTCCGATGCGGATAGATGTAATTCGTACTGTACACACGGTGTTTTTGTCGGAAGTCAAATATTTGATCATAAACATTATCAATATTGATATTTTTTGATTATATAGTGATTGCGTAAGTGTTAAATTAAAAAAAAAAACAAACAAAGAAAAATAAAAAAGACGACAAACGATGGTGATGAAAAATAAAATAAATCATAATCTCGTGGACAAAAAAAAAAAAATAAATAAATAAATACTCCCAACGAGGTTATACAAGATAAAAAGCTGTACCTATGTCTGAAATTTCTGGACGTAAGATTGTTTGTCGCTAGATTAGCTCTACGAGTGTAGTTGGTGGTTTAAACTGTTTAACGTTTAAACTTATTATTTATTAATCGAGGATAAAATATGTAGCACATGCTACGATGGTAAAAATGGTATTTACGAAGATATTTTTTTTCAAATTAATTATGATATATTTTAAATAAATATTTTCATAAAAAGGTATAGTATGTCTTAATTTGGGTCGGTCCGACAGATGGATTTTACATTATGATAATATATTTCAGATCCGCACTTGAAACTATGTGGAGAATTATTATTCATATTACGCTGATTGCTCATGAGTGAATTTTGTAGAAATAGATTGTATTAAATATAATATGATGTTGTTATGTCGATTGCATTCCAGATTACTTAAAAATTAAAGTGTGTGTATGTAGGTTTTGCGTTTATATTAATAGTTGACTATCATTTTTTTTTTTTTTTTTATAAAATAAACTAGCAGTAATTGTCATTATCGTGTTAAATAAAAGTAATAAATGAAAAAGTAAAAATAAAAATAAAAACCTAATCGAATTAATTGGGATTCTAGTGATGTAAACAGGGAATATTGTTGGGTAATAGGAATTTTCTCAAGAAAATATTATATACCTACCTATTTTTAGTGGTAGATAAATGTAAACTACAATATAATCATATTCCAGCTAATTTCATAATTTTTGTTGTTGATGAGTAAATAAATGTAAAAAGTAGTGAATTATACATCTGTTTCTTATGAAGTAATAGTTACTTATAATAAGAATGCTGTAATAAAAAATATCATTACTTAATCCTACTTATTATTAATATTATCACGAATAAAATTCTTGAAAATATTCCTCCCCAAGAGATAACTTCCACAGTTTTACATCACTATACCTACAATCGGGCCGAAAATATTAAAAAATAATATTATAATAATTAGATTATTAGTGAACAATAAATAAATTCAGTGGCGCGTAGGACAACAACCAAAAATGTGTTTTTTGACTTACCCTTTTCCTCGTTTCATAGTCCAATGGACCGGCGACATAAATAGCACCGGTCATGTTTTTCACTGCAAATGCTCCGCCAAGATTTCCTCCTGTTATTTCGTAACGTATTCTGGACGCTGTAAATGACATGGAAAACGGAAAATATTTTATATTCGAACGTTTCCAAATAATACGTGAACTTGAGTCTTGTAGCGTTTATTATGATTTTTAGATTATTAATTATTATTATATTATTAGGGACGAAGTGATTAATAGGTTAGTAATGGCCATTGTATAGATTTATAACTTTTTATTAAATATTCACATCAATTTTCAACGTCGTTTTTGACAAGTGATCATTTTTCCAAAAAAAAATATTATATAAAACCTGGGAACGTATGGTTTGCTTGTATATTAGTTGCTTATTTTTTGTAAAATTATTTCATAAATGATATAAATATGAATGCAATAATATATTAATTAATATAATCAAGAGTTGATTGAAATGACATAGTTTTTAAGTTTTTATGAAATACAACAGTAAAAAATCTAATCTTATAAAATCTAACAAATTTCATTCATTATTATCAAATGTTAGATAAAATATTTCTAAAAATTTCCAACTCAAACGGCGGTTAATCAATGAAAGTATAATAATTATTATAATATAGTCGACATAAATTTATAAACTAGAATTAAGGGAAGTATATCAGGATGGTATTATGAATATATACTTGAATACTAACTAGAAAAAAAGTTCTAAGTTAAATTTCTCCTGCAGTAGTTTTAAAATTAAGCACATACATATAATTACTATAAGTCATTCGTATGTTCAGCAACAGAACACATAAACTGATTACATTTTTAATAAAAAACAACTGTAATCCGATATCGTCTTTCAAAAATAATTAAAAGTTAACTACAAAAACTTCCGAAACATTTCCTATTCATTATATAATTATGTCAATAAAAATATAACTCATTTGGATTTTAAAAGTTTTTCGATGAGAACAAAGATTTTTTAGAATTTCAAATTTTAGAAAATATCCTGCAGTAATTAAATCATTATGCATTGGATACCAATTGCAGAAAGAGATTTTATGATTGAAAATATTATGTTTTTTAGGTTACGTTATTATTAAAATTAAGTAAAAATGTTTTAGATCAACCTAAAATTTATGTTAATAGAAATTCTGTTTTATAAGATTGTTTCAATAGTCAAATTTTCTATCTATCTATTTAGTTTTAATATATATTTATTACTTGTATATAGTCATATAATTATACTAACATTCATCGTGGTCCTTCGCCGTCACAGTGAGTACTGTGTGTTGTATATCTTCATTTTCGTCGACCTCGGCCTCGTATAAGGCTTTATCAAAGTACGGCGGGTTGTCGTTTTTATCAGCAATACCGATTCGTATGAACTTGGACACTGAAAACAACACATCACGAGAACATTAATATAAAGTTTATACTATAGAATAATAATACCTATACCTATATTTCAAAGACACGCACAGTCATATCTAGGTAAAATGAAATAATTTTAAAAGTAAAAACTTATTTTCGAGAAGATATTCTTAAAGTTTTTGAAAATATATTTTATTTTTATGTTTTAATAATTTTAGTCATTAAAGAATGGCATTTAAAATCAAATAACGTATTTTTACTATTTTTATTAAGATTTTACTTTTTCCATTAAGTACAACATAGATTTTTAATTATAAATATTATAATATATAATATTTTAGAAAAACATTTTGCTAATTGTATGTTTGAAAATCAAATTCCGAACGTGTACAGTAAATTGGTTGTAGGTAATTTCTTAAAGTTTAGATAAGCAGAGTATAGTAATTGAAAATTTTGTGTATTTCATTAAATGATTTACCCCGCACTTTAACGTCGTGCAGAGGCAAATTCTATTTGAAATGTGATTGTCAGAGGAAGGATTGATTTGAGTGGAGGAAGTGAGGGAGATGATTGTTTCATGTATAGTGCACAATAATACCTGAGTTCGGAGCTTCGCCGTTGTTGGGCCTGGCGGATGGTGCTCCGTCTCGAGCCTCGACTTCCAAAGCGTACGCGCCTTGCTTTTCTCTGTCAAAAACTATTTTTGTAAACACCTCACCGGTTTCCGTGTTTATTTCAAAATAATCCTTTCCTTCGTTCCGTGGCGAATCGACCACATAATAATATACCTGCAGCCAATAAGAATTATTATATTATAGTCCAATCGTTCCTCGTGGAATTTATTATTCATAACAATAATATGAATATATAGTGTGATTATTTTATCGTAAAATATTTTTAAATCATGCTGTAAGCAGTAATTTAAAATAGTTGCAAGTAGTACAAAAATAATTAAAGTACCACAAATAATTATCCATCCTAACCACCTTATATTTTTAAATATGATTGCTTATTCTCCCTAAAACATAGTCATAAAGAATCTTTAGAAAAAATGTTCGAAATATTATTAAAATGCAGTTTTTTAAGTACCTATTTATTATATTTTTCAAACATAAAACAAAATTAAATTAAATTTCAAATAGTATAGCATTATAAGTATATACGAGTATATAATATAATATAATATAATACATGTGTATTTTCTTAATAAGTCATTGCACATTAGTCATTTTTAAGATTTTTAAAAGTTCAAAATGAGTTTCTGTCATCCATACTCACAATATAATTAATAATTTTACAGAATTACACTTAATCGTTCGTTAGACATTTTAAATGAAGATTCAAAGTGTATGCTTCCTCCAATAAAGAAAAATATTTTTAAGTACCAATAATAAGTATTGACAAATGGGAATATTAGATAATAAAATTATTTGAAATAATATACGATGAAAAATAATATGATTATTCAAAAGCTTTATAACACTGTCAAATGGTAAATTTGATTTACTTTTAACTATCTGTTGTAAAAAAAATTTCTAACGACCACGTTTAATCTTAAATGCAAACTCTTAACGAGCATTGAAACTTTAAATTAGTTAATAGGTAAAACAAAAAGAAAATTTTGACAAAAACAATAAATTTATTGTTCCAAAAAATCATGTTGAACTTAGATGTTAAAATTTTTATACCTTCATAAAAAAAATAATATTTTCAAACCAATTTTTGTTAAATTTTTTTTTTTTGTGTGTCTGTTGATCTTTAAAATTTTTAATTTCCAGAAAGCCTCGTTTTTTGTGACAATAAAGTTGTCATCATCAGTAAATTATAAATTAGTAAATAGTAACAGAAATAAGATTTACCCGGTTGTTTGGGAATGTGCCGTCCTTGTCGATCGCATTTACTTGAGTAACTTTGGTGCCGATTGGCTCACCTTCTAGGACGGTCTCTTGTTCTCGTTCAGTGAACAATGGTATTTCGTCGTTTACGTCTTCTAACATAATGTATACTGTTGCTTCGGACGCAAGTTGTTGAGCTCCGTTGTTCTGTAAAACAAGACGGTTGTAATTAAATAAAGATTATAAAATATACATAATGATATATTTATATTGGCGTGATAATTAATGCTAAACAATTGGCACGAAATAACAGTAGGTTAGGTTACTTGCTATAATGATACCTACAGCTACCTAAATGTTTAAACTTTTAAGAAACAATTTTTCAAAGAACATTTTTAAAATGTATAGCGTCATCATTATTATACGATATTTATATAGAAGTATTTGACAAATGTGCATAATTTGGATTGATAAAATTGTAGTGGTGATTTCTGAAGTCTGTGATTCAGTTATAGTGTATTTATTTAAGGGTTCAAGGGAAATAATATAATGGAATAAATCGTACCATTTAAGTCGTAAGCGAAATTACTAATGTAAAATACGCATATTGAGTAGACAAAAATGACAAAAATATGTGCCAATAAAACGTTACCCAAACATAGATATAAACAGCTTAACAGCTCAAATTTAAAAAAAATGGAACCCTCCTTCTATTTAAAATAATGAGCACTGATAACAAATTATATTACTTTAGGTTTATCTTTTTTCGTATTTATTAATTTATTATTATATTTACAAATTATATATTAACACTACAGACTAAGTACTAACCTCCACACGAATAGTTAAATTGTATTCCTTGATCGTTTCGTAGTCCAGTGGATGGTTGACTTTTATGTCAGCCCAAGTGAAACCGTTGTCCTGTCTCTGTTGCAAGTAAAACGTGTGGAACTTGTTCGTCTGCGCTGTGGATCCTGGCATTAGCCGATAGAACACGGTCGGATTTCCCTCGATGCCCGAGCTGAAAACATCGAAATTCCAATTAGTCAGTGAGCGAACATACTCGAACGGTGGGACGCGATATGCGGTTCCGATATTATTGTCAGATCTCGTATTCATTGTACAGCGAAACAACGACACTTTATTTGTACACTCGGCGTGACGACGGTGACGATGACGATCGTCATTAGATAGTCTATAGACAAATTCGATCGTACATAAATCAGTCGATCGCAAAAATCATGATAGTATTAATACGATAAGGCACCGGAAATGGTTTTACAATGGTTGCATAATACATAATGCATGTACAAGACGAGTATAATATTATTGTATGATGGTAATACTAATAATTTGTGAAAAATTGGCAATTGGTAACACGTAACAATTATATTATTAGATAATATGTTACACAATTGTAAAACTCAGTTAAAACATTTTCATCCCTCAAGAAAAAAAACGGTTGAAAATATAATATTATAATGATGATTGACATATATATAAAACTGATGACGTGTTATGTGTAACATGATCATTTCGATTGGTTCATGGCTGAACTTTTCAGTCTCTTAAAAAGTAAAATGTGTTACGCGTATTGCCTATATCTATGTTCGAACATCGACAAAAATAAAAATCGTCACATACGAATCGCATAATATAATAATAGTTAATGGACTCATATCGGTACAGTAAGTCAAATTAAGTGATATTCTGTAAAAAAAAAAAATTTAAATACACTTAAATATATATATATGTTATGCCGCATGCACTCGTAGAAAAATGTTTTTTGAGCGTACAAAAACAAAATTGGTTGAAAAATTAAATTGGCATACGAAAAAAATGGATGGGACATTAGCAAAATACAAAAGACAAAAATAAAAAATAAATCGATCTTCTCTGCGTATAGATTATGCAATAAAGCAATGAACTTAGTACTTATACATAAAAATAACATAACAACAAAACACAATATTATTCATATGTATTTATATATAGGTAAGTAACAATATAGCGATATGAAAAAAAAAGTAAAACCAACCAGACATGCCAAAAAACAATGTGACTGGTCAAAATTGATTAAGTACACAAAATACAAAAATACAAAATAAATAAAAATAAAAATGAAAAATACACCTATGCAGTATTATCTAAAAATACGAAGAAAAAAAAATTCATTGTTTCCGCGGTAATTTTTTCTCGAAAACCTTAAACAATATTATTCCGTGTATATTTTTCATTATTTTAATTTAATTCATAGTGTTTAATCGTCATCGTCGGAAATCGCATTTTAAATTAGTTTCGAAAAATGAGCGTCTTTCGGCAATGTTTTAGATAATGTTTAAAATGTGTGTTTCGTTAATACAATAATTATATCATGTGATATTTCCAACACCAACTTCCGTAATTCCAACTAAATGTGCGTAGATATGATACAATAATATGCATATTGTTATAGTATTATTAGTCGGTCAGATCACCACAGGTAATTGTAATAATTTTTTGTAATGTATTTATAAAATATGAAGGAAATTCACCAAGTCCTCGCTTTTTTACCTTATTAACGCATTAATTAAAGTTCTGATTGATAGAAATCTTCAATTATACTCGAAGGTCATATTTTTAAACACTTCATTTTCTGTACCATATCAGGAGTGTTCAACCGAAATACAAACTTTAATAGTTTCTAAAAATGATTATATATACAATTATAAAATATATGTAATATTGAATTTAGTATTAATTATACTCAAATTTGTTAAAAATTTAAAAATGATAATATAATAGTATACATTTCTGCAACTGTCAAATCATTTGAGCTTAATATGTCATGTTAAGCTTATTAACATGAACTATTGCCCTTAATAAATAATGATAAATAACTAGAAAACTACTAGTCAAATTTTCTATGTAGATAAATCAAGATTTCAAAAAAAAAGAAAATGATTTTTTAAATAATTTAATTAAAAAGGATTGTTTTCATATAAAAAACGGAAGTTTGAATAGCCCTAGGTCTAATCTTGAATAATTTAATAAACTCGAGTAAGTAATTGGAAAATATGGTTTTTTAGTAGGATACTTTCAAAATCTAAAAATCAAAATTTAAATAAATGCATTATTAAAGTGAATAATGGGGTGAGTTAGCTTGGTGTGAATCATAGTGTATATTATCGTAAAATATGTAATAATTAACTAGGAGTCTAAGACGTTAAAAAGAAATATTGTGTAGTACGTATTTATACTGTTAGTATAATTTAATAATAGTTATGGTTAAATAGATACTATATCATTGCAATTGCAGTGTGTGTGAAGATTAGTACGATGATTTGTCGGATTTTTAACGGATGTACGAAAAAATAAGCGTATCTAATCAAAGAATTGAAATTTTAACGATCTGAGAGAAACCTAAAATAAGTTTTCAGAAATAATAAAACATATGTGAATCTAATTGATCATTTGTGTTCGATTTTGAACTTTAGAAATCGTTATCAATAAATAAACTGCGGAAAAATCAATGAATAATAAAAAAATAAAAATAAATTATATAATATTCTAAACGAAAAACGAGATATAGCAAAAAATATAACTAAAATTGAACAAAAAAATGTAATTCCGTTTTCGACAAGATCCGCACATATACAACGTGCATTGTATAGCGTGGACGTGCAAATGTCTTGACCTGCATGCGTTGTTTTGACATTTAGAGACGCATCCGAATATCGATTCGATCGGTCGGATTGCAGGAATCTCGAAATGACAAAACAATAATATTTAACTACTTATAGTCAAACGCAGGCAGAGGTGTATAATGTAAGTACCTATATAGTATGCGTCGCGAGATGTACAGATTTGGGTTTCGTAAAACTAAAAAGAACAAAAATAAAAATATGATACCCTTAACTACGATTTATTGATTTGTTGAGAATCAAAAACGTTACGTGTGTTATTTACTTGAAGGTATTATTTAATATACAGAGCGATCTACAAAAAATGTTTACATTTTAAAATCGAAATAGCGCAGAAAAAACTAAATAAACCTTATTTGCAGTACTTAATCATTTTGTTTTTATCCTATCCATATAGTAGTTAGTAGTGACCTGTAGTATGGAATTAAAAATTTCAATTCACGTGTGGGTGGTAAAATATATTTGCAAGTTAGTATTAGTTATATTGGGGTGGGTTTTGAGTAGATCGTACAAAGTCAAGGACTATGTGAAGTTGGTCCCCCCAAAACAGATCTTCGGTTGTGGTGAAAGTATGAAATTTCAATTATATAAATACAAGTAACAAAATATTGACATAATTATGGAGTTAACCGGTTAAAGTCGGGATCCAACTTTAAGTATGTTGGTGCTCACTACTGTTATACATTCTAATAGGCAAGAGTTAGTTTAGTTGAAATTCGAATAGTTTCAATATCGTTGTACGGGTATAGATATACATTGAGAATACTTTTTAAACCACTTCTCCCTGCCCTCATAAAAAAAAGAATAATAATCAAACGTTCGATTTTAGGAGGAGTACAGTGAAATATAAAATATTAAACATTTGTGAGAATCCTGTAACATGACATGTTAAATTCGCTTTTTTAATATCTCTTATTACTAATAAAAAATATATATAAAAATTCAAAATCAGTTCATTATTTGAAGAACGCTCTATATGTGTTCTATGATTTATGGGCACAGTTCGCAAAATGGAAAATAAATAATAATAAAAATTATCGTTACTACCGATTTCGGTTACAATCTATATACATCGTCAAAACAATATTATATGCTTTGGTATGATACAAATTCAACACGAGTCCGTCTTCTGTACACCTTGAACCTATATACTATATAAATAATACATTATATCTCTATAAACGGGTTAAAAGTAATAATATTATTGTAAAAAAAAAAAAATCGTAAAAGCAATAAGATTTATATTGCTAGATAAACGTTACGTAAAAATTACGTATAATTTTCGTAATTTCTGCAGATTCTGAGCGAAGTGAGAATAGTTTTTGATTAATTCACGTAGAGGTGGGTTTATTTTTATTTTTTTTTTTTGTATAAAAATGAAACTGATCTGATTTAATTACTTATGGCTTATGATACGTTAGCGAATCGCAAAATGATTTAGACCGGTGGTTTTGTAACTGTGGTATGGAGAAAATGATATAGAATAGAAAATAAATGAATGAATATTATTTTTACAAATGTTTATAACGAATTTAATATTAATATATATTTTATTTAAATAGGTACTAAACATATCGCAAGTTTTTAATTGCAGATAGTTATTTATTTTTTTAGCAAAGGCAGGAATTAAAATATATTAAAATAAAAAATATTTTTGAATTGGTTTAAAATATGAACTCCATCGATATTTTTATTTAATGATAATGTAGCTGTGTACAAACAGCGCTGAATTTCGTATGCAACGTGAAGGGTTCTGTAATGGGGTATTTCGGATTTCACTCAAAACGCTCAGAACCGTTCGTTGTTTTATTTTTGATTAATCGATCATATAGATTTTTTTTTTTTAGTGCCGTGCATCAACAGTATAGTTTTGAACATATTATACTATTACAATCTGACGTACAATATATAGTAGCATATTGTTATTAATTAATATATAATATTATAATATTAATAAATTATTTGAGATTTTGTTCTGTGGAAATTTTTGGACCGACCTGGCTTTAATAGATACCACTTTTGCCCCGACTGGCTTGTTTTCTTTTATGTAGATGGGCCCGTACACGACGTGGTCCCAGACCGGTGGGTTGTTGGCTCGGTCCACCACGTCGATCTGGACCTCGACACTTCGAGACAAAGGAGGATATCCCTTATCTTGGGCAGTAGCTTCCAGCTTGTACGTCTCGCGCTATATATATACACACGCCGCAACGGTATAATCACACACGCACATGGGAGAAGGGAATTAAATAAAGTACAATGATAATACATGTACACCTTGTGTACACAGGCACACATAAATATATGCATATATAAATATATTATAATTATAAATTTAATATTTTGTTTTTTTCATAGAGACAACGCGTACTAAATCATCATTATATTGTGGATTAAACCGTGAGAAAAATACTTGGGGATTGTCCGACTCATAGATCAAACTATAATAATATTATCTCAACGTAATATGTGCATACTGCATCTAGAGATGTGTAAGAATTAACGGTAAAAAATATTCGATAAATTTACTTATAAAGTAAAGTAAATTGGTAATTTTTTAAAATAATTTATTTTAATTTAATTTAATTTTACTTATCTATTAAATCTATTATTGTAACCATTTTCACGTGGACATTAATCTATAGTTTATATCTTTAATGCAATAATATTATAAGAATAAGGGTTTTAAATATATTTCAAAATAAGTTTAAACTACGTAAATAATTGGTAACGGTACTTATTATTGATCCAATATGTTTATTACAGCGTTTATCTTTAAACCATGTATAAAAAAAACTAAACACAGTGTGTTTGCATTATATTTTTATGACTTTAGAAGACTACTAAAATAGTACATTACGTATAATAGGTACCTAAATTTAAGTTATCTCATTTTTAAAAACAACGAAAATGAGGCGTTACACTTTTTAACAGCGATAAATAAATTTAACCGGTAAAGAAAACCTATATAAAATGTACATAAATGTACTTAATTCACATCTCTAACTGCATGTACATTAGATACTTTTCTCTTTGAATAAAATACAAGTATATAGTTCGATCGAGAGTCGAAGGCATTTACTCTTGAATATATTTATATAGTTATAAATATATATGTATATACGTATATTTATGTATATTGATATTGTTTTACATATGCCAGTTTTGCTATCGTCATTTATAGTCACACCATATATAATAATTTTGTAATAACAGAACTAGAACGGATGAAAATTAATACTTTTGGATTACCGACACGGGACCTATTCGTTACCTATTATAGGTAATACGTATTGCACTATACATATATCATCGGTATTACACAGGTATACACCGCAAACATTTAATTGTTATCGTTACGTCGTGACGTCATACAAGTACCGTCGGATACCTAAATAAAGCTCTCGCGGTAAACGTGGAAGGCGATTGAGACCAGGAATACAAACCTGGCTTTGACTGAGATCACAATGGTACTGATTGTGACATTCTCTTTGATGTGTGTAGGACCGTACACGCTCCGTTCCCACAGAGGAGGTTTATTGTTCCGATCTACGACGTCTAATTCAATATCGACCTCAGCGTACGACGGAGGAACACCACAATCCGAAGCTCTCACGCGTAGACGATACTTTTCTTGCTACATACACAATACCAAGGCCCCCGAAGTTAAGTTATAACGTATGAAAACAAAAACAAAAATAAATAAGTGAGTAAATAAAAACACAAACAAAATATAAATAATGACATTGAAAAAAAAACATACAAATTATCTGCCACAAAAGAAAAATTAAAGCAAAAACAATAGTACATATACATAATACATAGATATATATGTAGATAATATGGTACAGACATAATATTATAATGATATATAATAATATGATAAGACATCGAGTCGGTGATCGATTAAGTTCATGGTTAGTCAGTTGGTCGGTCAATCAGTAGGATGGTGTCTATGCGTTCTTATTACTTAAATGTGAACAGGACTGTTTTCACCCAAATATTTTTATAATATTCGTAAGATTTTTGTTTAGTCTAGGCTAGTTTAGATCAATTTAAATTTTTTTTAGTAATGGTTGTTCGGTTCAGTTAAAATAATGTATAGTTAATTTTTTACAATAATATTTTTGTAATGTGTAGATATCAATAAAAATATTTCGAACTAAATTAAAACATTTTTATGTAAGTGTAGTTATTTAAATAATACGTATTTATAAATACTGTGGACTAAATTCATATTTGTTAGGTAAATTTTCCATTTTTAAATACAAAAAAAATATTATACACATTAAATTAAACTTAATTTAAACTAAAAATAAACTATTTGTGAACAAAAAGTATCACTTTTTCTTATTCTATAGTTACCTAAGAAATGCTAAAGATGCGCAAATATTATACAAAGAATTTATAAATTAAATATTATGCTGACTATATTAACTCTGTGAAAATGAATGATTTTATTAAAAAAAATATTATTGCCAACTTAAATTTTAAATTAATTTAATCTAATTTACGCGAAATGAATGTTTGGGCAAAAACGAAAAAGTTCTTTTTGGACAAAATGGACTACACCCTAGATGTTCATTGCTCATATAATATTTAAGGGAGAATACGGTTCAACTATTTTTCGTAGTTTTAGTTCTCATCGGGTAATTTATCTTGATATGATGGTATATTTGAATTTTGATCAGACCATTACATTAATGACGTCTTTGCTGAGAAAGAAAAACAGTTTTTATTTTTATTTTAGCGTCGCGTAATATATATTAAGTTCGGAAAAAGTTTACTAGTTTCCTATCCGTTGTCAAACTATATATTATTATTATAATACTATCACTACGAACTACTACCTACCCTTACTCACGTCTGTTTATTTCACGTCTTATTTTTCGTTCGTCGTTGGTATTCCCGCTCTAGGCTGTGAATTTCAAGAAAAAAGTCGCTGTTTATAAGACATAATACCTAACCTAAGAGACGGCTTAAAACGAATCAAACAAAGTGGTTTTGGGGTCGTTCGAGAAAACCGAAAGGCGGTGTTATCGTCATTGTATGTTCAAATACAAAAATATCAAGAAAAAAAAAGTATTTTGGAAAACGACAGTTAGTGTTTTGGTGTTTCACCCGTTTTATTGTTATTACAACATTTGAGATGAGTTGAAAAGAGTAAATTATACTCAGAAAAATCAACGGAAAAAGTTTTTAGTTTTAGAACAATTATTTTCTTTGAACTTTGAAATGCTAGCGATTAATAGTAGGGACGATTTAATAAAAATGCTATTGGTAATATATTTTTTTAGTTTCTTTATTTTTAAGTTATAACGATAAAATATAATTTATATCTGTATAAATCAATGGTATAATATGTAAGTTATTTTATATTAATTTAACTATTAGAGAATTATAAAATAATGATAATATAATTAGCATTTTAAACGGTCAATTATAAGTGTATAGCTAAGTTGTCACAATAAATGTTAAATAGTATAATGGTTGTAATCTGTTTAAAGTTATTGTCTAGAGGTAGTTATATTATAAATATATAATATGTACATGCTAGATTTCAATTTTTACATAATCCTAGAAATCATAAAAAAAAAAAAAAAATCAATATCAATAAATTAAAACGAATTTTCAAAACACTCAATAAAATAAATTGTTGATAATGTTATTTAATTGTATTGTATACGAGTGATAGGTACTCGTAATTATTTTGTTTCTAGTAACATGCTTTGTTATTGTTATATTATAACTCTTACGGATAACCGTAGTCAACACATGCTGTAAATTCTATTAAATCAGACAAGCAGTCAGACAAATAATAAAACTTAAACAAAACAACTAATACCAATTTTCATTAGTTATAGGTACATACTGAACTATTCCATTATCATTCATATAATACTGTTAAAGTAATAATTTTCTCATTTCGTTCAATTCGTCTTGGAAATATTTAGGCGAACAGCAGCATTTTCGCGTAGGTGCACAGAAAAAAAAAACTAAGCCATTTCCACAGTCAAAATAATCTTTTAAAAGGAACGTCAATTTGTGTAAACAACAACGTACCAACATAACTAAGTGCTGAAAACGACTTATTTTTTCTTCTTCACTAATGGCGTGCACGTAAAATTAATGTCGTGTATTTGAAATGACAAATTACATAACATTATACTTGCAGTAAAATATCCTACTAATATAATTTCCACAGCGCAAACCGTTTTTGACAATTCTACACAGCTAACAGCGACATGGTAGTTTTGTGTAGAAATATGATAAATATTATAATTACAGGTATACATTTCGGACGTTTCTATGATTGAACGTATGAATGTTTCTAATGGAATAGTTCTACAAAAATAAAACCGGAAATGTCGTTAAAATGTAATCATTCGTAATATTGAACTTTTTTTAGTATACATATGTAATCGTGTAAAACCACTTGCTTTAACCATACATTTTGAAACTGAACTCAGGCAAAAGACATATATTTCAACGTTAAAAAATACAGCGATAATTATCATATTGATATATGTAAAATTGACAAAATTTGTAAAGAGAAAAACTAACTACAGTAAGTTACTCATTCCCAAAATGTCATTAAAAGAATTTAATTGTATTTTTATATTTATTACAATTAGTTTTAACGAAATATTTAGCACCAAAATTCAAAGAAAGTCTTGCAGATAAACGTACCACCTCATAGCCCAATCATATTTCCGTTTTTGGTTGTTACGTGATTACACGAGATCGTGTAGAATAAGTAGGTTGGTACTTATTAAACCTTTTTGACGCAAATCGGCTGTTATTTAATAATATACTTTCAAGTCATACAATTTTAAAGCTAAGACCGATTTTAAAAATTAAAGACTGATAAACTTTTTTAAGACATTAAATCGATTTTTGCTAATTTCGTTAAATACATATTTTAATGATAACTACAGACGTGTTTAAAAGTTTTTATTATTGACAAAAACTATTACATATTTTAAACCATAATATTATGCATCATTGAAACGAGCACAATAGATTATAAATGTTAAACATAAGTAGACAGTGTAAAGAATTTGACTATTACATTTTTAAACCTACATATTATACGTCATTAACTCATGAAGAATATACAATTTCGGACAAATTTAGTCGGGACGACTTTATTAGAGAATAATATCATTGGTACAAGATAATTTAGCATAGAAAAAAGAAAAAGATTTTTTTTAATTTGAATTTGATGAAATATGGAGCTAAAAATCAAATAGGGAATGACTTAAGTCACAAGACCACTACCTGGGAGAGTGTACAAAGAATCACTGTGATTGAATCATTCATAATATTTAATTTTTTAATTTTGTATGTGTTTTTTTATTGATAGAAATTTTTTTTTAAATAATATTTAAAAAATAAATAAATAAATAAATATGATATTTCAAAGTATTGTTGTTATTCATTTTTATTAGAGATATATTATCTCTGTATACTTAATAATTATTCTAAAAGCTATATTAAAGCCGATCTTTATCAACTTGTTTACGTACCAAAAAATGTCGGTGAGATGTCCTTAAAGTAGTATGTACGGTATTGTCTGTTTTGATATTATTATAATAAAATATTTTGGGCATTTTTGATTTTTTTTCGGTTTTGTATAAAATTACAACATTTTAGATCAACATTTCCGGTCAAATTGATAATAAATAGTTATAGATACTAATTCTACTTAATAATGATACGTATACTTGGCATATATTTGAAAGTTCTACATATTAAACTACATGGAGGAAAATTATAAAATTCATTATATTAACTCTGGCCATTACAGGACAGGTTTAAATAAAAAAAAAAAGGATTTAAAAATTAAAAAATCAAATATAAAAAAAGGGGATTGTTAAAAATGAAAAAGCGTAATAACAAAATGATAGTAAAAACATTGTTTGTTGCCTATCACACAGACCATGTACGGTGGCCCCAACACAATTTTATAAAAAAAAAATGTCACAATTTTAAAAATGTGTTTGCGTTCAGAGGAAAGTCTCAAAAATATCATATCGACTTTTAAAAATCACCTCTGGAACATTCCTGAAAAATTCTTCAACAAAAATGTTCACAACAATAATGTATCATTATTATTGCATACAAAAAATTCCAAAAGTATTATTTTTTTCCTGTTCGCTTAATCTTTAAAGAAAAAAAAAAATTAAAAATCAAAATACTGGTACATATGTAAATGTACCTATATATTTATACATAATAAATGTATGTATAAAAATAAATATTGGATTCTTTAGAGTTTAGAGAAAAATAAATAATTAGGTAATGCAATATTATGCAAATAAATAAAAATAAAATGAAAATAATGGTGTGCTTATAAATTCAAATACCGTGGTGGCCTATTATATTAAACAAGGATTGTGCGATTAACATTAGAAAATAATAAATCAGACTTGTGCGATTTCAAATTATTAAAGAAACACAAAAGAAAAGTGATGTATAGTAAAACAAATAAGCTTGAATTATATTTACACATTAAACTTAGTAATATTCAACTGCACATATTTAATAATTATTTTTATGAACATTAAATCAATAATCGTTGAGTAATTTAAATTTATTAATTTATTTGCAGAAGTTTATCTTTACCTATGTAAGTGCCTTACAATATGTATGTACATTTCATTAAATATTAATGCTTCAAAAATAAATGAAATTAATAATAACAGTTTAAGAATTTTTGTATTTAAAAAGTTAATAACAAATAAAAGTATTGACATTAAAGTGAATTCATGTTAATAAATGTTAAATTATTTAGTTTCTCTATAAATATATTTAAATTGTATTAAGATTTTTGTGTTAAAAGTAACGAGAAATTATTGAGAACAGATTTCAGTATCAAATGTATCTGAAAAACCATTATATAAAAAAAGTAAAAAATACCTAACAGTTTATCATAAAATGTGTACGAGTTATTTTTAATTTTTAAATGAATTAAGTATACAAATAATTATAAACTATTATTTATCATTTTTGATTACAGTTGAATATTGTGTCGTCATCTATCGAGTTGTTTTTAAATGTACGAATAAATATTATTCAAGTGTTAAATAAGTATCTAATGTTAGAATTTAGTACAGGGTGTGTCGCGAAAGTTTGATACTTTGATTTAAAATTGACCAACTTACGCAACATACCCTGAAGAGCCTTTGATTCAGCTGATTGCGAAACCATCAAATGATTATGAAACAATAGGTAATATTTTGTTTTTAATGTGTTTGAATAAGACGAGTATTGTTTGCACAAAACGACAATTGTAATGAAAATAGATACTATTTACAGTCGTAATGGAACGTTCAAAAAAATAATTTGAATTCCCGCCCCGACCGTGAGTTATTAAAATAATAATTTCGATTGTTTCGCTTTCAGCTGTTGTTTATTAAAACTTAATTATTTCAACTGATAATATTAAAAGTTAAATATAAAAATTTCGGCAAGACTATTGAAAACTTACGTCGAGTGGTTTCTTTAAAACGATCCACCCGGATTCCGGTTGAATCTCAAAGTAGTCTAAATCATCGCCCGGATACGGAGCAGTGAGTGAATATATGATTGCGCCATTATTATCGGCGTCTTCGTCAGAAGCTGACACTCTTAGGATGTTCGTACCAATGCTTGCATCTTGTTTTACGTTCTCCACGTATTTCTAAGCAGTGTATAAAACAATTTGCCCATATATTAATGGATTTATAACGTAATGACAACATATTATCGTCTATTATATTATAGTTATATTACTTGACGATCGAACAGTGGCGGATTGTCGTTGACATCGGTTATCTCGACAGTGAAAGAGCAAACGCCTTCCAATGACGGATCTCCCTGGTCAGTAGCTTTAATCGTGACGGACACAAATTTGCCATCGTCGCCTTCTCGATCGAACACCTAAAATTGATTTTGTAAATAATTAGTTAATTATGTTAAAATTTAAAACTTTGACACTTATAGCTGGCAATGGTAAATTAATAAATAATAAAATTTCAAATTAGATAGGTAGGTACGTGCATAACACAACGTCTGAACTATGATAAACTCTGTACATTTAACTGTAGATAAATAAATTAACAACGTATATTAAATATATATCGTTTATTAAAAAAAAAAAAAAAATAAAAATTCAATAGGTGTTTAGAGAACTTAAAATTTTAAGCTTTATTGAAATTGTTCATAACAATTCTAATAATTGTCAGTACGTTGAATGTATGTTTCTCAATTTGTATGTAAAAATATATTGGCTGATTAAATTTAAAACTAAGATCCACAACACTGAAGTTACCTGAATACTACAGAACAATATCGTTAATTGTACAAAAGTAGTTAACGAAATAGAAATAAGAAAGAAATTCTATTGTAAGAATGCGTGAGTAGTATATAAAATGAAGACATTTTAAAATATAAAGCTTTAACTCAAGTACTCGAACTTAGACAACAACATTATTAAGATAATCACGTAACACAACAGTAATCAAATGGTGACTCGCGAACAACTCTTGTCTAAACCACAGAAAATAAATTTGTTTTTAAATTATTTTTTTTCATTGTTAATTAAATAAAGTTTTTATCAACATTAATTTTATTTTTTGAATTTTTCTATTTTATCCTTAGATAAACGTGTACATTAAATTTTAATACCATTGAAAACTTTCTGAATTTCTTAAATGGGTTTCTAAAAATGAATAATTGATGATACTTTTTGTAACATATTGAATCTAATCTAACTATAATCATTTGGTTACGCCGTTTCATCTGTTCTGGGAAAGTTTCCCATAAACTCACCCAAACAAATAGAATAGTTTCATACAATATAAATTAATATGCATATCTATCAGATAACAATTGATAATGGATCCAATGTAATAAATTTACTTTTACTTTTTATATTGAAAAATTGTAATCATATCGAAAACAGTTTCCGTGTCAAAATATCTGTGTATGAAACCAAAAGCGAAATTGAAAAAAAAATTCAATAGTTAAAATTGTAACACTGTCTATACGTCTATACACTATATAATAGCAGTATGTATATTGTATTTTTACACCAAAAAAACGAAATCAGATGGGTATAAATATTATGTTCGAACCTTATTAGTAGAAACTTCGCCAGTTTCTTCGTCGACGGTGAACTTAGTGCCCTTTTGATTTGGCTGCTGGACAATCGAGTATTTCACTTGTCCGTTGACGCCTTTGTCCTCGTCAGTCGCATGCACCTGTGGGTTATTGTTATCATATTATTTTATGAACCAGTAGTTTAACACTTAAGCAATTAAATTTGAATATTTATAGGCATATAAACTAGTGAATAGCGCTTTCTATTTTGTTCTAATCTAAAGATTTAGTGACTTAGTATAAACGAGAGAGAAAGAACATAAAGTAGTAAATCATGGGCGAATTAGAACTACAATTTTTTCTCCCCTTTCCTTTATCAATCATAGTGTATAAATGTATGTTATCAACATTTTAAAATTAAAATTATAACATAAGTCACAGTTTGTACACGAAGTTATGATAAACAATTAACTGTACGACGCGCGCATTTGTTGTATTCGTACGACGTACATACCAAATGCACGACACATAAAATATACAGTAGTCTTAAATTTACATTATTTTAAACTATAACGCATTACGTTTTAGGAATTGTGATTTTATCCATCATATATATATTTAGTACTGTAATTAGATACAGAGTGTGCCGGGCATTTAGCTGTATTTATAAATCAATATTGAAGAACACTATGAATTATATGAATATTTTAATGAAAAAACTTGAAAGAAATTTTTGTACATTACCATGCGACAAAAAAAAAAAAAGATTTTTATGAGGGGGCACATACCACTAATGCCACCCCCTTTTGCTACAACATTGCTTTATATACAAATTTATACAATTACCATTAATTCGAATTTTATGGTATATTTATCAGATCAATATTTTTGAAACTTGAAACTGGTAATACAATTATAGTAATATTGTTGTGATTAAGTATTTAAGTATCGGTTATGATGTTTATATTGTTTCTAATTAAAAATAAAAATTAAGTAACTGATCAAAATTCGTATAAAGCAAGTACGAGTATTAATTTAATGATACTTGAACAAAGTTCAAACAAACAATTTTTTGCAATTTTTTCAATTTTTCTTGTATGTTTCTTATCATATTATGTTCTTTTTGTTCCCCGACTCTTTGAAAAATGAAATTTACCTATTCTAATTGTTAGCCGACAGTAATTATTTATTTATTTATTTTTTTATCATCATTATCCATCAAAAGCTAGGTCTATAGCCTATTCATATAAATCTAAAAATAATTTTCAATGAAATAATCGATAGGAGGTTGACAGTAACTTTATAATTTAAAATTATTATAGTCAGTAACTACAATAATAATCAAATTCAAAGCCCAAAGGCCTCTGGGTTGCACCAATGTTTAAAGTTTAAAGGTAGATCATTGCCACTAAACTCGCAATTATTACAGTATAGATCACCTATTACACGAATGCTATACATTATTTGTTTTATTTTAAACAATATAATAATATTTGTCACTGTCTTCGTATACCTTGAGCACCGGACTGCCATTTGGCGCGCCCTCCTCGACTTTGGGATTGTACTTGGCGCATTCCCTGAACACTGGCTTGTTGTCGTTGACGTCGGTGATAAACACTACGACGACCGCGGTGCTGGTGTGTATAGTCGCTGCGCCGTTCACGCAACACGCTCCGTCATCCACGGCGGTTACATTCAGTTCATACTTGTCCCTCTCCAGTGATATCGATTTCGAGTGCAGCCGGATCACACCGGTGATCTCTTCAATGACAAACTGACCGGACGAAGTGCCACTGCCCACGAATCCAAATCTGAATGCACGTTTAAAATAATATATTATAGTTGTTATAATACGAGACAACAGTCGTTATGCGTTAAAACATATTGGTACAGTTAATTTATACAATAAAAAAGAAAAATTGTAAGAATTTACACTCGTATTCAAATGTGTAGTTAAAATACTTTTCATCGTAAGTATCTAATTATCTGTACTTGAATACTTTTAAAAAGTATATTTTACAATACTTCATATATTTTACAGTTATTATTTAACAACACGTGTATAATATTATGTTTAATAAAATTCGTGTTGAATAAAATTGTGTACCTGACATTATCACCATCTTTGTCGGAAGCCACCACTGTGGTTACAAGCGTATTGGGTCCGGCATTTTCGTCAACGTTCGGCGTGTAAACTTGCTGCGAAAACTTTGGCTCTTCGTCGTTTTTGTTTTTTGTGTAAATCCTTATGGTAGCCGTTCCTGTCTTCGGAGGTTCCCCTTATATACAAAAAAATGCATAGTCATATAGTTATAGTTGTTGCCACGTTTGTTATTGTAGTTTATTTTATATTATTAAAATAAATATCGTCATATCATCGTCATTCTCACTATAAAATAATGCGGGCGACAATCATCCATCGTCTGCCTCTGACATAAGTGTAGACAGTGCAGTGTCGTTAATTAATAAAATTATGTTAACTTCGGGTACAAATTTATATTATACCGAGATGGAACATATCGTATAAAGGGAGTAGTAGCTCACTTCCATAAGCTCAACTATATATATGACCACATTTTTAGGAAATATAGCACTTATATTTTCTCCTTATTAACCTGATATTTCTCATAAATACTTTCAAATTGGTATGTTCAAAAATGACTTATAATAAAATATATAACTTTGCACGAATTATATATATATAATATATATATAATATTAATTCAATATAATTCACTAAAAAATATTTTAGTAGGCTACAGATTCAGCTAGGCTGACTTATTTTTACAAACTTTTATGCATAAAAATATTTTATTTTTCTCATCGTATATGCACTATTAGTCAGTTTGTGAACGATATAAATTTTAATTTTTATCAATTTCTCACAGACTTGAGTTGTACTTCGAAATTTGGTATAAATATAGGTTAAAAATATTAAAAGTACATGAACATATTAATGATTTAATTATTACCACCATTTGAAGTTCAAATATTACTATAGCAAAATTAACACAGAAAAAAAGATTTTTTTCAAAAAAATTTAATTACATCATTGTAAAACAAAAAATAATAAGTGAATAACTATTCTACGATCACTTGAATTATAATTATTTTCACATAATGAAACTTTAAAAATATTTAGAATAATTGTATGCTATATAATGCGTTATTACACATACTATTATTTTTTTTAAGTATTAAATAAGGCATTTACGGTAAGCCATTGATAAGTTATTTAAATATGCAATTTGATATTTCGGCAAAAATTAATTCGACCAACTGACCAACTTGATTAGGGAAAACAATAAATATGCTTTTTATATGAAATTAAATAGAACATTAATTATCTTCAGAAATAGTTGCTGATCCATCAGTCTCGTTCACTGAGAATCACATTTCACATGCAATTACTTTTTATTGAATTCAAATTCAATACATACAATGACCTACTCAACAACCAAATACATTCTAAAAATATACAGCGTATACGCTTTATTTACAGCCGACTTATTTACTTATTACTGTTATTGTTGTTCGATAGTATAATTTGTTTTCTCGGTCAATTCTTAAATCAACTGAACAGTAGCGGTTGTTATATCATACGATTTTATCGGAAGGCGGGATGATAACGACATATTATATGTGCCGGATGCAATAATCATCATAATGATAGATGTCATACACGTGAAAGATATAATATATAATAATTGTTTCAGTAAAGTATGAGGGTTGTGTTGGCGGGTGGTGGTAGACACACATGCATTTCAAACTATGTTAAACTACAAATAAATAGTTTTAACGGCAATAATAGACAAGTAAAAACTGTTCTCGATACTTAGTCTAAATTACAATGGTTCCTATTTAGCATTAAATCTGCACAGATTGCTAGCTGAGACTTGAATTGGATCAGGGAAATGTTCAAAGGAAGTGAACATTATATTGTTTTTAAACGAGAAAAATTATTCTTTTATTAAAAGTAATTTTGAAAAAGACGACCTTACCTTTGTCCTTGGCTGTCAAGACGAATTCATAATACGCGTTATTGTTATCGGCGTCCAGTTGCTTATTGTTATTGACGATTCCTGAAGCGTCGACTGCAAAATGATCATCGCTCACATGATACTCAATCTCGGCGTTTTCACCGGAGTCTGCGTCCATGGCTTTCACTTTCAGTATGGAAGTCCCAAGCGGGATATCTTCGTCCACGTTATGTGCCTGATAATCTGGCAGCTCAAACTTGGGTGCATTATCGTTGACGTCGGTCACGCGAATGGTGAGCTAATAATATATGAAAATAATATACGTTGTGTCATATTAATATAGTAAAATTACGTATTATATATTTCGGGTTGGAGAGATCGGACATAAGGTGTTGAGCCACCTATGTTAACTACCGAAGGAATCGCTTTCTCCCCAATCTGAGTATTGATTTTTTAATTAATTGATTAATTACCCTTGATGGCTGTTTTCAGCAAAAAAAAAAATGTACCAGTTGAAAGCAACATAAACAACTTTTTTCTTTTTTTTTTTGACAAAAAACAATTTAGGTCTGTTACTTATTTTTCATTATTTAATATTAATAATATAGCTATGTCTACAATGTCGTGCTTCACTTATTTATCTCTTCTATTTTACGCCAGATGTTTTACTTAGATTGTATTTATAATAATATATTGAAAGTACCCGCAATAAATTAGGTTGAGGGCATTTGGTTTATTTCAATTTAGTTAGTTTGGTGGAATTTATATATATATATATAAATTAATTTAAGGGTAATAAGTATATTTTCCCCTTCACCTAATGTTAATAAACATAAATAATGTATTAAAATATTGTACCTAATTGTATACTATTATTGCTTTTGATTTAAGCTCCAATAAATATTAAAAATAATATTTAATATTATAATGTAAAGTGTATAAAACATACCTCAACGGACGTTGAAAATCCACCAGAATCCTCGGTAGCAGTGACGATCAATGAGTACACATGTGGTTGTCTCAAATCCTCAAAATCCAATTCCTTAGCCAGTTTCACGATGCCAGATGTTGGTCCAATATTAAACGTCCCGGCGCCTTGACCCTGGGCTTTAAGCGTGTAACGTATCTCTCGGTCAGCAAACGATTTAGCTTTTACCGATATAATACTGCAAAAAATATGATTAATATTTTAAAACACATCACATTGCATTTCTGATTTATTTTTTTTCTCCCCTAAAACCACGACAAATAAGTAAATTACTGCATTTATACGTACTCAGAATCTTTTCGTTGATTTTCCGGTATTTCCGCTTCGTATGACTGCATATAAAACTGTGGAGCTCTTTTGCCACCGACGATCGATAAACGTTCTTCGGGTGTCGACTGAAAACGGCGTTCATCCACTCTACCATTCTGGTCTTCAGCTTTTACGTACAAAACATATTCCATGTCCAACTGAAACGGGTCGGTTCCTCTAGTTCGGACGACACCTGACCGCTCATCTACCTCGAATCTCCCACCGGCTGTTGACGAAATAATCATATTATTCACACCGTATAGAGTTTACAAATAATAAAATATTAAAAATTTATTTGAAAAACTTGATAATTTAAATGGTTTTTGCTTCCCTTAAGCTTCATGGTGCATGACACATTTCTCAAATATTTTTTCTCACCCGTGTTTATCTAACCTTATTTATCATAATATCCAGATTATAGACATTCAAATTATAAATTTATAAATCTTAAACTCAAATTTCTTTAATAATTATAAAGTAATTTTTGATTGAAAGTTGCTTATTTATACCTAAGTTTATAAGTTCATCCGATTCACTTAACCATAAACATGTATACCATAACTAATTTCTTCGAAACCTAGCTTTTTTTTTATCATCTACAAGTTTTTGTCTATATCAATATGTTAAGCGTAATTCGTTAGTTTTTGTAATAACTAAAATTTTGTATATTACTTCATTTTTAATTTCTCCTATTATTTAAATTTTGTATTTATTTAAACGCTTGTATAGACTTAAGTATAATATAATAAATATAGAAAAAATAATACAATATATGTATTTTAAAAAGTTAGTCAAGCTTCATAGAGATTTTTGACCTCTGACAGTTTAAAAATATTGTTAAAAATTTGTAAGTATTCATAAGCAAAATTTCAATTTTGTTTTTCATTGTCCGAACTTTACCACTATTCGTTTAAATATCTCATTTCCAATAACTTCAACATTGTTATTCTTAAAAAGTCATTACTACTATTACATTTTTTTTTTTTTTTAACAAAGATTTTTATAAATTATAAAATTATAAGTTATAACCATATAATTTTTGTTAAGAGATAATGATGGAAAAACTTTTTTATAAATAAAGCAAAAATAAGTATACCAAACAAAAAAATTGTAACAAAATGTTTTCAATAAGCGTACGCATTTTTTGTTTGTTGTAAATTTTAATATAGTAAGTACTAAAAAAAGGTATTAATGAAGTGTACATAATTGGTAAGTTTTTTGTTAGTAATTTTTTCATAGAAATTTTAAAATAATAATTTAAAAAATCTGTCTAATTAATAGATGAGTCTTTCTATACTCTCTAATATTTTAATCGAGACCGTACTCGGATACATACTTCTGTCCCTGACAATGAAATAATGTATACTGTGATCGGTGTCTGGATCACGTGCTTGAAGAGTGAATATCGGCGTGTTTGGTGGCGCGTTTAACTGCACCACGGCTTGCATAGGCAGCGGCCGATTGATGAAGTACGGAGGCTCGTCGTTAACGTCTTTTACATGTATTATAACTCTTTGATTGTCCGTATCTAGAAGCATAAAATATAATATATTATACAATCGATCCATATTAGATCGTTTAATGGATGTTCGTAACGCAATAATGGAACAAAATCGAAACTAAATAATTCTAAAAAGGAGCAGTGAGCAAAACAATAAGAAAAAAACATAATATCGTGCAATGTATAATATTATGTATTTATATAACATTTAGGTATGTGCAAGGCAGAGGCGACGTTAAGGGCAAGCATGCAGCCGCTCCCAAAATCTTAGCTATTTTTTGTTTTCTTCGATATACAAACATCCAAAATATGTCTCGATAGTCGACACTAATATATATATGTTTATGACACACGCATATGCATATACTTACACAAATTTAATAACTATAACCTGTCATCTACAGTGGATAAAAGGCATGACTGGAAAATTTAACAATATTACATTGAAATTCCATTTAAATACATTAATTATTATGTCAGATGTCATGCTGTATCCTTAATTTATATATTATCCAATCATAATTCATAAAAAAAAAAAATGCATTTTTATAATACACTACTACTTTCTATAAAGTATACTACGTGTTTAATATTTATATTATCGTTCGTGTATGAAAATAAAGTGTTTTTCATAAAGTATCTATATCTATACTTTAAAAAACTAACCAAACCAGAGCAATAAACAATCTAATTGATAATTTTATTGGGCATTTTATAATTTCCCAGTATATCATGTACCTTCTATTATATTTTATTACAAGCCTACATTTATACATATTACGCAATACGCGTGTCAATTACATTTTTTAATCGTTTTGTAATAATAAAAAGTTTCCACATATCAAATATATAAGCAGTATAGATAAGTAAATAAAAAAACTAAATTTTTAAAATATTTTTAAAGTATGTGAAAAATGTTATGGGTATATTTTATATCGTTCATAATTTTATGTATTTATACCTACTGAAATAGTAATTTTTTTTATTTATTGTTCAGATTTCCATTTTTTTTTTTTTTGAAATGTTTGACTTAGGTAGTTGATTATTTTTAAATTAACTAAAAAAAGCGATAGGTTTCGGACAATGAATTAAACTAAGCTAAAAAAAATAAAGTTTTAACTTGACTTAAAATTTTAAAGATTTAATTAGTTATGCCCATCCTTAATGGTTTTTAACCGGTGCGATTTTATATTGAGTGAGTGTTAGAATAAATATATTTTTTTAATTTACATCATTATTCTAAATAACGCGATGCGCAATAATTAGATTGTCTATTAAATATTTTATCAATATTTTTATACTGCCAATATTGCAAAGCTAGAGAAATATACCATATTGTACATGGCACACCAATTCACTAAACATGATCAATCTTTTTTATTTCTTCAATAGTGAAAAAATATGATTTTTTAGAATTTTTAAATATATTTAAAACTGTATTTTAAATTTTTTAAATAGTTTTACATTATCCACTTGAAAAATGTCTGTGAAAATTATTTAGTGGATAACTTAAAACAAACTTTAACTATCAAAATCAAAATTCAAACGAGTATTTTTTAAGTTATTTAACTTTGTATACTAAGGATAAAAGGTTCATTATAGTGGGTTTGAATGATGTAAATTCTAAACTATGACTATTATCTTAAGTGTAACATTTTCATAACTGAGAAACTATTAGTTTTTATATTTAAATTTTGATGTATCGAATTTAAAGGTTTTTTTCAACGTATAGGTACTTCACAATCAACTGTAAAAAATGTTGGATCAAATTTAAAAATTAAGTTTGTATCACTTAACGATAATATAAATGTTAAAGTTATTAAAAATATCATCCTTAAGTACGTTTAAGAAATCTAAAAATCAGAATTTAAATAAATTTATTATTAAATGAAAAACGAGGGCGAGTATGCTTGGTAAATCATGTTTTTAAATAGGTATTAAGCATACTGCTTTGTAGGTCATTTAAAATGCACACTAATCGTTCTATTTGCAAAATTTTCGAAATCGTTGTTTACCTCATACACATAAACATCTTAAGTTATTCGGCGACATTTCTACGCAATATTCGCCAGCCAACATGTTTCTGTTTCACTTGATTCACATATGCTTAATATATTATAACAAACGTCTCGTCGTGTTTCAAAGGGTCGCGGGCCGCATACAATATTATCGTCATCGAAAGGCGGTGGCTAAATAATAATTTACCAAGTATTATATTGCTTGCCAAATATTGAATAACGTCATTTCGTATATATATATGAAATCTCGTTTTACATCGAACGATCTACCAAAAACGTATTAAAAATACGCGCGATTCATAACTATATACGCGTTTACCCAATAAAACCCTGTAGGACCATAAACATATTTAATATCATATATTTTCGTTAGCTTATTAAAATTACAAAATATTTTATGACTTTAGAAAAAAAAATAGAAATAAAATATTATTTAGAGTTTTGGTTTCGACTCTAAGCAATAAAAAAAAAGTATGAATATATATATATATTGCGAGTTGTTCTGAAAAAACCTTTATAAACGTGTATGAATACAATAATTCATATTAGTTATTATTATAGTTTATTTATACGACAGAGGTAATTTTTTAAGAAAAATATAAATACATAGATATCTACATTATACAATTTATATTTCTACATTACTCATTGCAATGAATTTTTGAAGAGAATTTCTATATGTGTATAGAAAGATTTTGTAATAAATATTAGTGGAGTATTACTCGTAATACCTAATAAATTTGAAAAATTAAAAATCTATCTTTGTATTTTAGTTACCTACTACATTAAATTTAATTGTGTTTTGATATTTGTTGGAAACGAATCGAAAACAATTTAGCTGAATAAAATTGGACTATTAGCTGTGTACGATTAAATGGAAACTAACGTCTTAAGCATAATAATAAACAAAATTATTGATATAAAACTAATATTATTTTATTTTATTAAAGATAACTAGTTTCAGTTATTTTTAATTAAGCGAACATTTTATAATATTATACTTTAGTCACATAACGATAAAAATTGTTAGCACCCCAATATTTACTAATTATAGGTCCCACATTGATATCAAACATATTTTGACTGAATTTCGTATATAAAAAGTCCAGAACAGAGAAAATTGTATGCTTACTGAATTACTTTCTATATTACTCAATCAGGACCCAAAATCTATTTCTGTATCGATCAAATTTTTCATCTTCATCACCAATTCACTTAACAGCATACAAATTTCCTCGATGTAGTATTCAAATATAGTATTCTTATATTATCATTTGTGCATAATTTAACTTCTATACTTCTACGTTATATATAATATGTAATTTAATATCGTCAATATCACTAAATTAATATATTATTTTTTAAAGTTTATTTAAAAAGAAAATGAAAAAATAATTTATTGACTTTTTAAGTTTTGGTTATAGATTGAATTTTACAATATAAAGTAATGAATAGTGTAAATAATATATTAAGTCCTCTAGTGACCTGTCATAAGGCTTTTGATATGTAGTGCATATTTAAAAATAATAAAAAATATATTTGATCGCACTGCTGTCGTAAAATCTACCATTACAAATTTTAATTAAGATTTTTGCATTAATGAATGCAAACAATGAAAAAAATCGATAATGAAACACCAATGTAGAATAGTTTGAGTAATTAATTTTACGGTAAATTTTTAAAATGATTTATATTGTTTTTATTAATCTAACAGTTATATTTCAATGCATAATCGCTATATTGGTATTAATATTGTTTAAATATTATTCAAATCTATGTCGCATAATAAATACTAGGTAGACTAATTAAATAAAGTAACAGGGTTTCATATAAACATACTACTTAGGAAATAAGTATCTTCCCATTAAAAATAATTATTAACTTTAAAAAGCAATTTTACAGTTCACGCACAATTAAAATAACACATAAGTATTTTATGGTATTTATATAAATATTATAAGTATACACTTATTTCAAGCAATACATTTTATTTTTATTTTAATGTAATTTCTATAAGACTTCTTTGAAAATCAGAAAAGTAAAAACTAAGAATTAAAAATTAAAAGATTGCAACAAATATAAAGATTCTACCTACCAACCTATATAAAACCTATATTTTATGGAGTATTAAAAAGTAAAAACATAGTATAGCACTAATGTTTACGGAGAATCTCAGAAAAAAAAATAATAAATTACAAAGTTGTTAGCGTTGGTTTAATTTAATTTTGTTGATTAAATGTCTACAAAAAAAAAAAAAAACCATAGATGGTAGCAAGGCGAATTTCAGTTGACATAAAAATAAAAAGCCAAAACAAAATTGAGCAACATTTCTGAAAGAAATTATCTGAAAAAAAAAGATAAATAAATAAAAAATGTTGAAATCATTTATTTAAGTATAAATCTTGTATAAATATTGAATATATAAAATGGCTTGAAAAGTTTATCCTAAAAATAAAATGTTATTAATACAAAATAACCATGGAAAAATGTCAAAGTCTTGTAGGTCCCTAACTAATTGGATTCTGAAAAAAGAACTGAAAGTTCTAATTTTAAAATTATAGTTAGTATACTAAGTGGTGTTGCTGTCGAAATTATTGGAGGCATGAGTTTTTTTTTTTTTGGAGGACGGAGAGCTTTTGTCGTGATGCAAACTATACACAATAGTAATAAAAACTTTAAACAAAATAATCAAACAAGTAAGAGGTAAGTATTATATGAACATATTTTTTTTTTCGAAGAACTTACTCAAAAAAGTAATTTTCATATTAAATGTAATAATTAATTGAAAAATAAAAAAATAATTATTCTCTATGACCGTGTTTAATACAAGTATGTATAGTAAATATAAAATAGTATACCTCCTTATCCACCAGAGTATATTATTTTAGTTTAAAAACTTTGATTACGTTGGAAAAGTTAATTTTTGTACTTAAAAAAAGAGTTCTTTTTAAAAATAAATACCAATTTTCTCAAAAATATTCTTTTATTGTCAAAATAAGAAACCATACATCACTTGAAGTGGTAATCTGCCACTTAATAAATATTTTATGACAGTATTATTTATTTTTTTTTTTTACTAAATTCCATTTTACAAGTTAAATATTGTGTAAGTAGGTATATATTGACTCAATTAACTAAAAGTGATACATAAGTAGTTTGTACATAATTAATGAAAAAATGTATTGTTGAAATTTATAAAAACATCATACTTGATGAATAAAGTTATTAAAAGTGTTGAAAGAAGATTCATAAAAAATAATCATATATATTTAGATATACCACGTTTGTCATTTTGATAATTTTAAAAATTATTTTTCTGAAATATATTTTATGTGCTTAGCTTCAACTCAAACAAATCAACAAAGATATTACTATGAATTATGTACATTTATAGTTTTTAAATTTTGGTTCAACTAGGAATAAAATTTAAAAACCATCACTTGATTCTTATAATTTTTATGACATCAAAAACCTCTAATAAGAAATATAAACATCAATTATATAATCTATCAAATATAAACTCAATTTTAAACCTATTTATAAATATATTTTTGAGAACGAAACAAACTTTGTAAAAATTGTGATATTTCTTGTTTTGGCGTTTTAATGGAGTATTTAAGTTATATGATGTACTGATGTATATCAACCTTAAAATTTGCATACAACTATATTTTTTTACGCTTTTTCAACTTAAGTAAAGCTTTTAACTATCATTTAACTGCATTGATTTAAATATTTATTTTAGAACTTGAACTAGTTGTTTGTGGATATTCATTTTTAATTATAAAAGTTAACATAACTTGCTCTAGATTCGACGAGTAAAAATAATTTAGAAGCTTTTATGCTTATAATTTTTAGTAAAAATCATCCAATGCAATGTATTCGATGAATAAATTAAGTAACAAATTAAATGTATATGGAGTCTTAAGTGTTAAATTTCTTACAAATAAACATTTTGAAATAATCATAATGTATTGTAATGATGTATTTTACTAATTTAATAGATAGATTACGATAACTGAAATTGAAATTGTGGCACATATATGCCATTTCGTTTCATGGCATGTCATATTCAGTGAATTGGGGTGAATAAAAAAAAAAAAAAAAATTCTACTAGTTGTTACTACGAACTATTTTTTTCGGATTCTAGGTATCTAGTGTATACTACTTACATCTAATATATATTATAATATAATACAATACAATATGTGATATTTCACTCGTGCTTTTGTATAACAATCAACAACGACTACATACAATATAATATTATTAAAATAACTACATATTGTAAAATGTAAGCACAAAATAGATTTACTGATAGGTACTCACATTTCACTCCTGAAATTAGCATGAAAAAAGAAAGAAAAGAAAAAAAACGGATTAGCATTATAATAATATAATAGTTATATTGGTAATAATAGTAAAAATAATAATATATGTACACGCGCACAATACAACGTTTAATTGTTTATAGTTATGACTTATATGATATATGACGTATATATTGAATTATATTATGTTATGTGCGTACAGAGTGCGCGTTATATTGTAACGTCGCTTAGGAATGCTTTTATGTGCTTTCAGGTCGTTAGAAATTTGTTATCTAACGATCTGCAGTGTGCGTATAAAGTTAGGTCGTAAGTAGATGGGTTAGATACATACGGTATCTACTGTAAGTCTACATATAGAGAGTGATTCATCAACAATAGTCACGCATACTATTTCCTCTAATAATAAATTTATTTAAATTGTGAAACTTTGATACTGTATTTTTAAATTATTAATATTTTTCGTAATACTTAAGAAGTATTCTGTAGTTATATAACCTTCTGTTTTTTCAAAACGAGACTTCTCTTTCTTACTGTAAATTATTTGATAATTTTTTTGAACATTTTGATACACCAAGATCAAAGTTCAAACGAATAGTAATTTCGATCATTAATATGTTTATACTAAAGATAATAACCCTTAAAAATGATTAAACAAAAACATAAATTAGATATTGGTTCTAGTTTTTTTCATGTTAAAGAATTAATTACTAACATTTTAAAATCACCATATTTTCTAAATCCAACATTATGATGAACTTATTATCCTTTAGCAGTACTGCAAATTAAATAACTTAAAAACTTATCATTCAAATTTTAATTTTGATACATGACTATTTTTAGAAAAATTATTTACTAAATGTTTTGGCTGTAGAAAAAAGAAATGGAGGCTTTTGTTTAAAAAACAAAAGTTTGTAATGTTTCCACAGAAAACTTTTTATGTATAGTAATACGAAACTCTCAAGAATTTTTACGAAAAAAATTCAAAAATCAGATTTTGAATAAATATATTATTGAAGAAAAAAGAGTTGAACATATTTGGTGAATCATCTTGTATATTAATATATTATGTTGTAGTAACTAGCAATAGTATAATGAATATAATGTATATAGGCGTTCGAGACAAAGTAAACACAAATTCACCGTAGGTAGGTAAATGTTATTTTTAAATTTGTATACGCATAAAGTAGCGTCAAAACTATCGTTTTTGATTGATTACTATGATTATTTATAACATGTTTACGAGCATTGGTGTTGGTTGACAAAAAGGGCTTAATTTTATTATATTTTTAAGTGGCAGGAAAAGAGTGATTGCCTAGAACAATATTATTTTCTAAATACACTTTTGGCTATTGACTCTTAATGCGGCCTGAGATGCGGTACCAGCTACTTAAAACGCTATACCTACGTAAAATATATATTCATATATTTCATGGTAAACGATAATAATTTAATGTAATATTGTTGCGCGCATGCCAAATTCGTTGTATTTTGATTTTATATAGGCGTATATTTAAATTTTAAACCTTTTGCCGCAGCAGACTCGCGAGATATCGTATGAGCGTATATCGAAATGGGCGGAAAAAAATCAATATTATAATATATATTATATCTGTATAAAACCGGCACAATAATGACGGCGTTCAGTGGGCACGTACATTTATGTAAATATTATATAAAATATTTCTGTCGATGAAGAACATAATATAAAAAAACGAATTTTCATATATTCTTATATTTGTATAATTTAATATTATTCTTATTGTATATACCATCGGTAACTTCCGAATCATACCTGAATCATAAATATACAAATCTTAAGCATATCATACCTATATACGTAATAGAACTTTCTATATTTTCTTTTCTGTGATCTTTCGTCATGATTATTAGTATTATTATTATTAATACAATTTATTATTTAATAATCTCGACGAAAAGACACGAATTCGAATTATATGCCACAAGATGGCCGATACTGTAAACATATTAAATATTATATATAATAATATAATATTTTATATGTGATATTAAATAATAATATTTAATATGACAATATACGAAATATTGTATGTATATTTATATGGCGTGTGCTGTTATTAATTCATATTATATTATATGCATAGAACGACTTCCGGTATCAGATACATTCATATTTTATCTCTCTTTCTTTCTATATATATATATATATATATATGTATAGGTCAATATCCTAGGTATATATAACGAGCTTTAAGCTACCCTTGTTATACGTTTATATTGTATCTCGTCCTAAGATACAATTTTATATTCAGAGAGTAATAATAATAATAATAATAATAATAATAATATTTCGTATATTTGCTGCCTATTGTGATACACACTCATGTATATGCGAGTGGACGGTTCGAAATAATAATATTAACAAAATGACAATAACTGATCGGTTTTATACAGCATATTGCGTTCAATCACAATCTAATATCAGAACGTATACGTGTATATATAGCATTTCACGAAACATGTTCATCTCAATGTTTTATACCATGTAATCCATTCAACTCGGACGCTTATTATTTCAAAAAAATATAAACGTTTTTTAAAATATTTTTTATCCTATTATTTTAAGTCGTTAAAAAAAATATATTTAAATATTTTTCAAACTGTTTACATAAAAATCAAATTTTGAAGAATTATATGTATTTAAAGTTTAAAAGAGTTAAGTATGGTACAGATTTACTTGTCCAAAGTCCAAATATAATTTGAATTTATCAAAATAGTCTAAATAATATTTTGCTGTGGAATATAAAACTGAAAATATATGTTGGCATTCAAAAGTAAAAAAAATATTTATAAAAATGTAAGTGCTTTTTGAAATAACGAGAGTTTTACGTTAAATAGATCAGTCAGTATTAATTTATTAAAATCTCGATTTTTAATGTTTTTATTTACGTGAAAATATTTAGATTTTTTATTCCATTCAAGGAGTGCTTATCCTATAGCGATAAAACCGCTTTTTTCAAAGAAAAAATCCATACTGTTTTACAGTAAACTGTTAAACCGATTATTTATTTATTTCTTTTTGTTATACTGATGTACGAGTACATAAATTGAAGAAATAGTTTCCGAATTATTAAACCTTGTGTACTAAAAATTCTGTAATAATTTAGTTGTTAATAATATTTTTACATAAAATACAAATTTAGTATAAATAGTTTTTTTTTAGTCAATTTTTTTTTACAAATTATAATATTTTATTATAGTTTAATATTAATGTCTATGATTTCCAAAGCATCAAAGCCTCCTTATCTCACAATTTATTATCAAGAAACTATTACATCCCTAATACGCAAAGTCAAGTTTTTTCTCAATAACTATACTAAAACGTTTAACTAATAATCGGTTTTATTTAAAAAAATAATAGTAAGCTTGTATAACCACAGAACGGTTTAAATGATCTAAAGATTTATGTTAAAATATAGTTCTTAAGTACACTTTCAAATTCAAAGATCTGGATTTGAATAATTTATTTTTTAAAGACAAAAGTGAGATAAGCGTGCTTGATTAATAATACCACTCGGAGCGAAAATAATGAAGTTCGACTGCTTATACAAAGTACAAATGCATATATAATAATATTATATTCTTATGTATATACATGCTTATTGCTTGTACACGGAGTGTTTTTATGAAGTTTCAAACGCTATTTTCAAACAAATGAATCGGCATTGGTTTGTCCATAGATATACTTATATATATATATAATATATATGTGTGTGTGTGTGCTGCAGGAGTTGGAAACAGGCAACGTTCATATAAGTCGGGAAGTTGAGAACCAAAAAGTTTTCGGATTAAATGGAATTCTTCGGCATGCGCCAATAAAGTACGATGATATTTATTATATATAATAATATAAGTGTATTTGTATAGTTATATAAGCTGTATTGAAGTAATTTGGAGTGGAAAAACATTGCATTGATGTTGTGGGAGGAGGTAACATTCTTAACTATTCTGTTTTTTCCCGGTTCGACTTGTAGTGCATATAAGCTAACGAGAAAAATTCACTTTAAAAGTTATCGGCATGGAACGTTCCCGAAAATAAAATGAAACAAACTGAGAGCACATATTTAGAAGAGAATTATTAGTGAAGTGAGTACTTTGGAAGTAATAGTAGTAGTAGTAGTACAATATAATATGTACGTACCACACTAAGTCATGAGTTACCTTCATACGTGAACAAACATATTAAATAGGGTTCAAAGTTGTTAAATTTGTTTCGTCTTTTTATTCGCTTCGTGTTGCGTCGCGCAAAGGCTGCACACCTATTACATATACAATATAACATAGAAACTATTATTATTTGTTAAAAAAATAATAATATACATGTCAAAAAACTTTAAACGAATTTTTACAAGACCATGCGTTGCGTAGATATAGGTAGGTGTACCTATAATGTTATTATAAAGTAAAACGCACACATAAATGCAAAGCACAAAAAATTGTTATTGTCCAAAACAGAAACGTATTTATGGGTCAGGGTTTGCAGAAAGTGTTGGAAAGGCGACAACGCTAAGCAGACATTGTATAAACAGGCATGTTTGAAATTTTACTTACTATGTAAAAGTAGGTATATTTTTTGTAATAATGCATTGTTTAAAATCTTTTTCGTTACCAGACCGATGAGCTTTGTAACGGCGAACAGAAAAAACACTATATGTTCTGCAGCAGAGTGCTACGGTCATGTTTTTAATCATACAATTAGAAATTTATAAGTAGGCGAAAAATATGGGGACAAATTAAAAAGCACTGAGGTGTAATAATATTAAATATACAGTTATAGTCAGAAACTTTTGTAAAATTGTTTTGTAAATCGGAAAATAAAACTCTCATTGAGATGGGCGTATCCACCAAAATATAATATGTATTATACATATTATACATTAGCTGCATCAGAGTTGGGTTCGAAAATAAATGAAGTTCTTAATTGTGTACGAATTGGTTCCAAGTGAATAAAATATTTTATTGGAATCG